TTAGGCAAAAAGGGACAAAGTGTTATCTATTCATTTTTTTCAGTGTTCACTGCTATTATACCTAGTCTAGCTCACCATCATCTCCTTTGTGATAATATTCCAATAACTTTTTCCTAAATCCACTTGTGCTCCCTCCATACTATTTTTCTCACTGCAAGTAAGATATTTGAAATAATCAAGTCTAATTATGTCCTGCTTCTGCTTATAACCCTTCAATGGCTTCTCATTACTTTTAGGATAAAATCTCAATCTTTAAAAAAAAAAATTTTTTTAAATTATTGATTTTTAAAGAGAGGATGGGAGCGAGAGACTGAGAGAAAGAAAGAGTAAAAGAAGCATCGATTTGTTGTTCCACGTATTTATGCATTTACTGGTTGATTCTTGTATGTGCCCGGGGACCAGGGCCAGGGCTTACATCTCCGTCTTTAACAGGGCCCGAGAGGCCCTCTCTCCCTCCTCACTTTGCACCGTTCTTATCTCTGTTCCTTCCTGCCACAGGATGTTCATACTTGTTTCTTCTGCTCAGGCATTCTTTCTCAGTTTGTTTCTCGGGTTCCTACTCATTTTTCTATTCTTTGATGTAATATTGATTCCTTGGGAAAGCTTTTCTTGTCTCCCTATAGAGAGACCACTCCTCCCGTCAACACTTCTTTAGTAAATTATAATTATGAAATTTTCTGGTTTTCTTTTTCTATATCGGAAGCTTTGTGAGGATAGAGATTGTTTGTAGTTCAGTGTTGTGTTCCTAATCCTGACCATAATGCCTAATATATAGTAGGCACTCCATAAATTTTTTTGTCGAATTAACGAATGAGTTGGCTAAGAAATTGGATGGTCTGAGATGAAGAAGTCTTGAGGTGAAGGAGCAGGCTTAGTAGTGGGGAGAAGAAAAGCTGGAAGGAGATGAGGCTGTCGCCAGAATAAGATGCTGGGAGTTGAAGATTTAGAGGCAGGAAGAGTTTCAGGAGATGGCAGGATCCAGGACCAAGTTGTTGGAGTAGAGATGGAGGTCTTTGCATTTGATGGGATTATGAAACTCTTAAGTCAGAAATGTTAGATGGATTGTTTAGGTGGGTGTTGTAGTTGCTGAGAAAAATGGTAGGATTTGTAATGAGGGAAATACAAGGTGGGGTCAAAGTCTGTAATAAATATGAGAGATAGGTACAGCCCTTTCATGTTGGTGAATGAATTAAAATCAGTGTGGTTCTGGGATTGGTAAAGCCCTAGTCCTTTGGGGGGCAGTGTGGTAGAGAGTGTATGTTCAGACTTCCAGCCAACACCGTGACTTTTCAAGCCTTGTTTCTGTATCTGTAAACTGGGAATGATAAGCCTGCTGCAGGTTTGTCATTAGTGAATAAGGAGTGTTCTTGAACATGCTTAATGTTAACTTGTTTTTTATTCTCGATTGTTGGCATCAGTTCAGGAGGGCACAGAAGTAAAAGTAGGGATGAGAGGCAAAATTAGCAGCAGAAGTGAATTTGGAAGAAGGTACCTGATTTCATTCATTCCACATGCTGAATTTATACTATAGAGTCAGCATAAGCAGTTACGAATGAATACAGGGTAAAAGCAAGATCTGTAGGGAAGGATTTTGTAAGGTAAAGGCTACTGGCTGGCCCATAACATTGCAGTGTTGATCCACAACAAATTTTATGTAAAAAAATGATTAATCATTTCCATGACAGTTTCATCTTCTTGGGAGTAGACTTTATTGTTCTGGGGAACAGAATAAGGACCATTATGTGAAAATTAGAGGTGGGGGACAGCTGGTGATTTAATTTAGAAAAGCATTTTCTAACAATCAAACCTAACAATAAAATGGACATCCTGGCAAAAGAATGAGTTCTCTGTCAAAGCTTGTATTCATGTGGAGACTGGATGATTGATCTGTCAGATCTAATAGAAGCCTTCTTGCATGGGAAAGACATTGGATTAAATAATTGCTGAAGCTGAAGTGTCTTCCAATTGGAAGATTGGAGGATTTTGACTCCGATTGAGATTTGTTTAAATACCATTCAGTCAACAACTATTTGAGTGCTTCTTTGGTTTCATTGGAAAGTTTGAAAGCCAGTATTTTGTTTTCTTTGTTTCCTTCCTTTGTGCTGAGACAGAGCCAAGGACTGTGAGTCTTCGTCATTGCCTTGGATATTCCCTTTTGGAATTTGAGAAGCTCAAGCCAGGTGTTGGTGGTGATGTAACAAAAGCAGCTGTCCTCACCTGTTGGGTGGGGTCCGGGTGGAGTCCACGGCGTGCACCTGGAGACAGCAAATATAAGAAGGTGCTGCCAAAAAGTATGGTGGTGTGTTTTTTGTTTTGTTTTGTTTTGTTTTTTTATTAAGGGAGAGCAGAAGGGAGGGAGAGAGGGAGGGAAACATTGATGTGAGAGAGAAACATCACTTGGTTGCCTTTCCTGCGTGCCCCGACTGGATACCAAACCTGCAACCCAGGCATGTGTCTGACCTGGTTCAAATCCTAGACCTTTTGGTTTGAGGGACGACACCCAGCCAGCTGAGCCACACTGGCCAGGGTAGTGCTTTGAATTTTTGAGCAAGTCGTTCTAAATAATGTTGGACCTCTAAATTATTTTTTAGAAATATTTTTGAAAAGAATGGCCTACTATGTTGGCGGATGAGATCTGTGATGCCTAACAATGTTGATGGTTTTCGTTGGCTTCTCTCTCTCAGAAGCCTAAGTCCGGCTGGGAAATTGCCTACATGCCTGTGGCTTAAGTAACTCTTTTTTTCTCCTACCAAGCACTTCTTTGCTGATTGCTATTTGTGTGCTTATTGTATATTTCCCACATTCTTTCAGAAGGTGATTCAAGTGGCTTTTTCTAAGTTCCTTTGCTTGCTTGCTTGCTTGCTTTTTCTTTCTTTCTTTCTTTTTTTCTTTCTTTCTTTTTTTAGAAATTTGAAGTGCATTTTTAAGTCTGCTCTTGGTTCAGGATTATTAATTCATTTGTTATTTGGGCTGCTACCATGTCCTGTGACAGAAGACAGTGACTGAACATGGGCCCAGAAAAGGGATTCTTGTCTTCTTTAGGGGAAGGAGAGGCCACTCATTCATCTATGAATTCTGAAGGAATTTAATTCTTAAGTTTTGAATGTAAGGAACTAATTTATAACATTTTGAATTTTAGGTATCTTAGGCCAAAAGTTCTTTATAAATTGGTAGCCTTTTCTGACAGTTGTGTTATTGAAATGGAACTAAATTAGACCTTGATTATATGTAGACAAAAAGAGACTATATGGACCACAGTTTATGAGGCTGTAGTAAACTGAAGTTCAGTTTTTAAATCTGGAAAGGACCCTACAAGTCATTGAATCCAAGTCTAGGATACACAAGAGGCAACTGAAACACTGTGAGTAATTTGACAAGAGTCACCCAGCTAATACATACAGGTGTAGATAAAATCATATGATATGAGGATGGTGGAGTAGTGACAGTACAGTTGATGTCTTTTTAGAAAGGGGAGAGGTTCTAACACTTCAAGATATGGACTGGGACCAGGGAAGCCTTTAGAAACAGAGGAGTGATGTGAAGTATGAAGTACCCTAGAATTTCTCATCTGCTAAATTAAGCCTCAAGTTGATTGGTTTGGTGATGGCCGATGTGGAGACTCACTTATTTATTCCTCAAGTGTTGATTGATGGCCTGCAGTACTGTAGATGCTATACTTGATGCTGAGGCAACAAATACGAGTAAAACATGTCCCTGCACTCAAGGATCTCTTGTAGTACTGGAACGGTACAAGAGAATACTTTATTTTGCCATCTCTCTCTCTCTTATAAAAGTTCAATTTTATTGACTTAGTGATCTCTACTGGGTTTATAACCCACAAATGATTGCCTTAATATTTCTAAGGCATGCAGAAAATCAGGATCTGATCACATCACTAAACAAGCTGGGTCCGGGGTTGAAGAGACTGTCCCCTGAGCCACCCATTACCTTTGAGAATCCTACTTTTGCCTTCCCCAAAAGGCAGGGGATTGGTGGATTTAGTAGGGCAGGTGTGTGTGTACCTGGTGACTTTATGAACAAGTCCTCTTCTCCAGAGAACTCTAAACAACCTGTCTGATATGGCAGAATTTAGCTACAGATTGTTCTTCACTCCATTATTGCTTCCTCAGCTGGGACTGCTAACTTCAGAGGAATGTGCATTGGTGCCAGGCTGTCAGTCAGGGACAGAGATTCTGCCAAAGTCAAGTCTGAAAGAAGAGATCTTTTTCAGGTGAACTTATTTGGCAGTCATGTGGAGTTAGTGGACAAAGATTGACTTCTGTTACGAACCTTTGGGATATTCATTCTACTTTGCATAATAGTTTGTGGTTTTTATTTTTAGTTGTTCAGATTTTATTTACCGATTATTTTGCTCTTCCCATTTCCTAGCTAGCATCAGAAGAGTGGTCAGCTGTCAGTTATTTAGTGTATAGTATTCAATCATTCTTTCATTCATTCTCTCATTCATTCTCTCAGCAAATATATACTGAGGGCCAGTGTGCCAAGCACTGTGCCAAGCGGTACATGCTGGGGACACATTAGTGAACTGGACACACAAGCGCTTTGCTTTCTTGAAAGAAACGTATTAGAGGAGGAGACTAGATAGTAACTAATTACAGTGATTCTAGATTATATTAAAGTGCCAGGGAGGAAATGAACAAGGTGCTATGTTAGAGAATAACGCGGGTGGGAGTTCTTCAGGGTGGTCGTCTGGGTTAGTTTGGATAAGCCAACTGAAGGGTAGAAATGTAACACTCTAGAAAGGTTTGGGAAAAGCATTATTCGGAATGGTATTATGGTTTTGTGGTTAATGTAGTAGTTAAAAAATTAATATGAATGAGGAATTAGGAAACTAAATGTTACTCATCATAATAAATTCAACTGAAATTTAATGAGCTAGGATGGTTCGTTTCGCCATTTGGTTAGGAAGCTGCTGAAACCGGGCTATAATCATTTCATTCCACTGTCATTTGAGTCTTACATGTTTATTTCTTCTTCAGGTGGAGGCCTGAATTTTGATCGATGACCTCCCTACATCCGCTGCCTCAAAGTACTTAATGATCACATGACCCTGGACATGGATGCTGTCCTGTCGGACTTTGTTCGTTCCACAGGAGCCGAGCCGGGGCTGGCCCGAGACCTCCTGGAAGGTAGGAGGGAAGTCATTGGGGGAGAATTAGAAGAAAGAAAAGTATTTATTAAGATGATTTGGAACATTTAAGGTGGTCAGAAAGACATTTTGTGTATGGTAGGTCTTACGTTTAAGCTACTTCTAATAATCTGTGTATGACCCACCGTAATTTTAAAATGCAAAATCATCCTTTCGCCTTGAGTTTTTTTAGGATAGCTTTTAATACAAGTAACATTTAATATTAGCTCACTACTTTAAACAGTCAAACCTCGGTTCTCGAATGTCTTGGTTCTCAAACAGTTTGGTTCTCAACCAAGTTGTTCATGGAAAAAAAGTCTCAGTTTTCTAACCAAACCTCAGGTCTCAATTCTCTACCCAGCAGTCCTTCATGCTGATACCTGTATGATTGGTCAAATGTCTCAGGCAACAAAGGAGATTGACAAAGGAGAAACAAATTGCTCCTTGAACAGTTTTCTAGAATGAGTTAAGCTCGAGAACCAAAGTTCCACTGTAAATGGCTTTTAGAGTTTCATATTTGGGATCGTTCATGGTTTTCTTTCTTTCCTTTCCTTTTTTATATGGGTAATTCTATGTAGAGTGAAATAATTTAATGTTTTCATTTTGCTTTTTTGTTTACTTATGTCTGTATATACATGTAAGTGTGACTGTTCTAGATTTAAGGTCCTTCAGGCGTGGAATCATGCAGTGTGGAATTCTTTGGAGTCATTACTAATAGATGCTTATTGATGATGAAAATATATAATGATACAAATAGATAAGCCCATAAGGAAAGGGGCAAGTTTGTAGTATAAATGGGTAATTTTTTAGATTATGAGCCCTTCGAAAGGTGTGACCATTTGACATTTGCTTAGCTACCCATGAATAGAGCCTTAGTTTGGAAATGGAAGGTCAAGGTTTAAGTTTCTAGTATTACGATTTTAAAACTGAGATTCAGAGAGGTTAAGTAGGATTTAAACCTAGACCATCTTGTTTCAGAGTCTGGCTCTTAGTAATTATATTACTGATTAATGCTTGCATGTTCTCTCTCTCACACACACACATGCTCTGAAAGAAATGCTATGAAAGTGTAAGAGAGAAACCAAAGTTAGCTGGAGAATGCAGAAAGGCCTTCCTGAAGAAGTGACATTTCAGCTGAACCCAGAAGGATGTGTAGGAGTAGCAAGACAAAGGAATGTGGAAGAGAATGCTTGCTTATGCAGAAGACGTAGCTTATACAAGGACCCTAAGGTGAAAGAGAGTTTGGCATATTAGAAAAACTAATAGAGAACTGGTATGAGAACGGTAGGAAACTTGCCAGACAGGCAGGAAACAGCAAGGGGTGGGGGGCGCTTTGTAAAGCACGATAAAGAGCTTACATTTTTTTTTTTTTTCAGTGGGAAGCTGGTGAAGGATTTTAACCAAAGGAATGACATGATTGGATTTGAGTTTTTAACTGTGTAGTTGAAGGATATGGAATGGATTGGAAAGTGGCCAGAGAAGAAGTGGTGAAATCAGTTAAGAATATTGCAGTAGCTTAGGTGGGGACGATGGGGACTCGGACTGTAGTGGTAGCAGTAGACTGAGAAGTGGAGGATTGAAGATATAATTTAGAAGCGGGATCAAAAGGCCTGATTGTCATTTTATCTCTGTCTCTTCCTTTCTTTTACTTTTTCCTTTAAACGTTAACTCTGGTTGTAATATAAAGAAAAAATTAGGGGGGGAAAAAGAATAAATTAGGGAGAGGACAGATTAGGAGTAGAGAGACTAGAGAGCCCCTCCCAAAGGCCAAAGACCAGGTGAAGGTTATGAGGACTTGAATTAGGAAAGTGACAGTAGAAATGGACAAGAAAGGAGAGATCTGAGAGCTGTGTAAGGGGCACAGACAACCCTGAGGACTGACTGGGTAAGGAGGGGCGAAGGGGGATGGGGTCTGAGGACTGGCGAGGAGCAGGAGAGGATGGGCATTTCTGGTCTTGCGGGGACTGTGGTGCCACGGCTGGCTGAGGTAACATGGAAGGGAGAAAAGCAGCAAGTTGTGGGAGGGAAGATGCCGGGCATTTAGTTGGGGCGCGTTGGTTGTTTAGGAGGACCTGATTTTAAGGAGTTTAGCAGAGACTCGGAAGTGTAGATCCAGTGCTCAAGACAGATTTCATTCGTTCATTCGTTCGTTCGTTCATTCATTCAGGACAGGCGTTCTCCAGTCTTCAAAGAATATTTATTGAGTACCTACTATGTGCCAGGTTCTACATACTTGAACAAAACAAACAAAAATCTCTGCCCTTATCATGGGAAAGATAGTCAATAAACAATAAACAGGATAACCAAGTAAATCGTATTATAAAGTGTTATGGAAAATAGGAGGGAGAATGACGAGGTTGTGATTTTTTAGTGGGTAGTCAGGGTAGGCCTTATAAAGAATGTGTCATTTGAGCCAAGTACCTGAAGGGGATGAGGAGTTACCAGTGTCGATATATTGGGGAAAGAACAGTGAGAATAGTGGAAAGGCCGTAGGTGGGAACAGCCTTGTAGCATGTTCTAGGAATAGCAAAGAGGCCAGTATGACTGAAGTTGAGTGAGCAGAGGAAGTTGGAACAGATGATGAATGGTAATTGTTCAGAAGTAAATTCAGCAGACATGGATGATTAATACAGCTTTACTGCAGAATTATAATAATAACAAGAAACAGAACAGCAACATTATTGTGTACATAGATAGTGCTTTCTGTGTACCAAGCACTGTTCTAGTGCTTTCAATTCACTTAATCTTCATAACAACCCAATATGATATTGTCTCCACATTCATAGCCAGGGAAGTTGAAGTACAGAAAAAAAAGGCTAGAAAAGTAAACCAGGTCATAGGAAACCTTGAATGTCACACCGAAGAGCCTAGGCTTTATTCCATAGACAGTGGTAAGGCAGTAAAGACTTTGGTTAGGACATTGAAATGATCAGAACTGTACTTTAGAAAGAGTAATCTCATGTAATTCTTTAGAGTGGATTGGAGGTGGGACACTAGGTGATAGAATCGCATTAAGGCGGTAGCAGATGGAATGGAACAGGGGGAAGTGGAAACAGTTGTGCAGCACATTATTTACTGTATAATTTGGCTGGAGAAAGCAACAGAAAAATCTATATGGAAAATCTGTCTTTAGGGTCTTCAGTAGAGCAGCGATTCTTAAATTTGGAGAGGTTAATTCCCTTTGATAATCTAACAACAGCTAGTTGCTCTTTCTTAAGAAAAATGCACATAACTATAACTTTGTATACAATTTCAGATGGCATAGGACATCCTAGAGGACATCTAGGTAAATAACCCTCTGGATCTCAGAATTAGGAGACCTACTCTTGATTCCTGCTGGGCGCTGGTGTAAACTAGCTGTGACTTTGGGCAAGTCACCCTATTTCATTAAGCTTCATATCCTTTATATGTAAAATGAGGTTTCTAGGTCTCTTAAGGGCCCGTTCAGTACAGAGAGACAAAGTTTCTGTGCTCCTGGAGCTTAGTTAGGAAGTAGACACGTAAATAAAGAAATTGTGATATGTCAGATAGAAGTGTTATGAAGAAAATTAAAGCCGGGTAAGGAGAGGAGAGCAATTGAAGTGTGCATGAGTATATGCCTGCTGACGTTGATAGGACGGTTAGAGTGGTCATGGAGTGCTTTTCCTCAGTTTCCCTATACTCCGAGTGCTCGATTCACTTTTTGCTGTGTCTCCTGACAGGAAAGAATTGGGATGTGAGTGCCGCCCTCAGTGATTTTGAACAGCTCCGTCAGGTCCATGCTGGGAACCTGCCCCAGCCCTTTAGCGAAGGCAGCGGTGCCTCCAGGACCCCTGAAAAAGGGTTTTCTGACAGAGAGTCCACTCGCCCTCCCCGACCCCCGCTACAGCGGCAGGATGACATCGTTCAAGGTACCTGAGAACTGAGGGGTATTTCTGTGTACGGAGTAGAAAGGAAGGGCGAGGACTGTTAAGTGGAGTCAGGGAGTTTAGTGATCCTTTTCAGGTGATTCCATTCTGCCCCGTGTCCCCAGCCAGACTGGTCAGAGGTGGCCTCAGGCTGTCCGGGTGTTGGACCCCCTCACTGTCACTCTGCATCTTGAGTGTTATCCTGTATACATGCCTTCTTCAGGTACTGTGAAAAAATAGAGGAAGGAAGATGCAATCATTGAGATAAGGCACACATGAAGATAGAATGTAAAGGGTTACTACCATCTACTTCTTCGGAGGCCATTCTGCTAATACTGTCACTGTCTACCAAAATTTAAAAATGCATATATCTCCTAACTCAGCAATTTCATTTATAGGATTTTATCATATGTGTTTGTGTACATGTGCATATATCTATCCTTTAAATATATACATAAATAGGCACATGTAAAACTTGAAAGTTAAAGCTTAAAAACAACTTTTTTTAAAAGGTTTTCTTTACTTATTTTTAGAGAGAGGGGAAGGGAACGAGAAGGAGAGGGAGGGAAACATCGATGTGCAAGAGGAACATCGATTGGTTGCCTCTGCATGCCCCCAACTGGGGACCTGGCCCACAACCCAAGCATATGCCATAACTGGGAATCGAACTGGCAACCTTTTGGTTCACTGGCTGACACTCAGTCCACTGAGCCATACCAGCCAGGGCTGAAAACAACTTTTCATGTCCGTTAATAGAGGAGTGGTTAAATAAATTGTAAAAATCCATATTGTGGAATATTCTGCAGCCATTAGAAAGAATTAGGTGGAACTGGATGTGCTGTTTTGGAAAAATCTCTAGAATCTATTGAGAAGGGTAAGATACAGTATATAGTTTGCTCCTGTTTAAGTTTTAGAAATGATTTTAAAAACTATAAATGCTTCTATGTGCATAAAAAAATTCTACAAGGTTATAAAAGGTTGCGTCTGGGGAAGGAATCAGGAATTTTGAATGAGAGGGAGATATCTTTCCTTCTCATCAAACACTTTGTATCTTTTGATAGTATTTTGATTTTTCACATTGGGCATGTGGTCCTTTTCAAATACTTAAAAAGAGTTTAAAAAAATAACATCACTAGCCCTGAACCACGTGGCTCAGTTAGTGTAGTGTTGTCCCACAGAGTGAAAGGTCCCCAGTTTGATTCCTGATCAGGACACATGCGTGGGTTGCAGGTTCAGTCCCCAAATGGGGTGCGTATGAAAGGCATCTGATCAGTGTTTCTCTCTCACATTGATATTTCTCTTCCTCTCTTTCTCCCTCCCTTCCCTGCTCTCTAAAAATAAATAAATAAAATCTTTAAAAAGAAAAAAAATATCACTATAAAATAACTTTTTAAAAGAAAAATAGCCTTAAACACGTCTCGACTTTGTGCATCATCTGTGGCAAGTATTGGGTTAAGAACTGCTACCCAATACACTTTTTAGCTCTTTTGATAATCTTTATGTAATCCAAACCATGCAAATGAATTGTAATACTACACTGAGCAAGTTATGATCACAGTGGAATATCTGCTGGGGAATTTTAAGTGCTGTGTATTCAAAATAAATAATTTGAGGCACTGTCTACATTACTTGTCTTCCTCTGTGGCATGTTAAGTAAGAATTTGTACCTATACATTTCTGGTAAATGTATCAAGGAAAGCTATAGTTAATAATGTAGATAAATGTTATTGATGGTAGGTAAGGAAGTTCCTGAGTGTGTAAGATTTTTTATTAATTTTCTGTATTGGAAATCCTTTTCTATATTCTCCAAGACTGTGAAAATTATTGGAGATATTATTTGAGTCAGTCTAGCCAAATGCAACCCCATTTTCCTTACTCCCTTTTCCTCCCACCAAGCAGTGACCAAGTTGCCAAATGAATGGGTCCCTGTTACGTTGGGAAATGAAAATAGAGGAAGTTCAGGAAAATTCCCAAAATGGTAGAAAAAGGAATGTATATTTGGTGCTAATGTGAGTGCACAAAAATACTACTTTCTGTATTTCTCTAGTTGTATTTGTTCTGAGAAAGAGGGTTGTGGCATTTGGTAGCCTGTGAGACTCATGGTTTTTCCCTGAGTGGAAAGTTCTCTGAGTGAGCTGTGTATATTCTAAGGTGACTCCATTTCTCATTGCAGAAAAACGCCTGTCTAGGGGCATCTCCCACGCCAGCTCCAGCATTGTTTCCCTGGCCCGGTCCCATGTCTCCTCCAATGGTGGGGGTGGGGGGAGCAATGAGCACCCCCTGGAAATGCCCATCTGTGCCTTCCAGCTTCCAGATCTCACTGTGTACAATGAAGACTTCCGCAGCTTCATAGAGAGAGACCTCATTGAACAGTCCATGCTGGTTGCCTTGGAACAGGCAGGTCAGTGAGTGCTGCTTTTTCCATGTTCTCCCCTCTGCCCTCTACCTGTAGGCAGCCACACAGTGGGGCGGGGCTTCACCAGTAGCCTCCAGTCTAAATGTGGGATCTGATTGCAGTCCAAGTCAGCAGTCAGTTGGGTAAACATTTACTGGGCTAGCTACTTCTTCAGGTTAAAGGAAGGACACGAGGTAGACAGTGTCCTCTGGAAATTTCCTGTTTGATGGAAGGGAAACCGGATATACACATGAAAGGCCTAGGAATCAATACCTAAAATTCAATACAGGAAAAAAATACAAATGAATTATAATTGGTTCTGGGACATCCTTGTGAACACAAAGAACTAGTGCTGTAGACAGTGCACAGTGGTGATTAATCTGAGAGTCATGTTTATTTATATAAACTTTACCGTGTGCATTGATTTATATATATTTTTAAAGTTAGCAAGTTACCTGGTGAGATTATAGGCCAGTTATTCTTTCTGTAGACTCTTTAGTGATTCAAGAAAACTTAAGCATCATTCAAAAAACTTTCCTCATGTAAATAATAGATTGGCAGTTGTGGGGTGACTCTATAGAATTGAGACTCGTTGTCTTGGGTGTTTTATGTACTTGGTCTTATTGTTCATGTCTTGAAAGTCCTACTATATGAGGTCTGTTTGGAAAAAGTCCAGCCATTGTTAATATAACTAGAACAGTTTGTGCAACATCAATGTAACCTGGCAGCCAGGGAGAGTGGACTGGAATGCACGTGCATGAATAGTGATGGCTTCACTGTATTAGTGGGGGCAGCAGATGCTCTTCAGTGAGTGTGTGTACTGTGTGTGGCTGTTGCATTCAAAATGACTGATGAGTAGAGCGACAGATCTGCATCAGATTTTGTGTTAAGCTCGAACATTCCTCCGTGGAAACTATTCGGATGATTCAGAAGGCTGCAGCTATGGGCAACTGGTGATTGGCAGCTTCATCATGACAGTGCGCCCACACATGTGTCATGTCTTGTGCAGTTTCTTTGTGAAACATCAAATAATCCAGGTGACTCAGCACCCCTATGACCTGTGACTTCTGGCTTTTCCCAAAACTAAAATCACCTTTGAAAGAAGATTTTAGACCATCAGTGAGATTCAGGAAAATACAGTGGGGCAGCTGATGGTGATTGGGAGAACTGTGTGAGGTCCCAAAGTGCCTACTTTGAAGGGGACTCAGGTGCCATTGTCCAATGTACAATGTTTTTTGTATATTGTATTTTCTTCAATAAATGTCTCTGTTTTCATATTATGTGGCTGGATACCTTCTGGACATATCTCATACATTCTGACATGCTGTCATACACAGATGATACTTGTATGACATTTTGAACATATACTTGGGGTTCCTTTTTTTTTTTTTTTTTACTGATGATGGATTTGTGCTGAGCTCAGTTGCTACAGTATTTACTTAATCTCCTGACCAGAGTGAAGGACTCAGACCAGGTAGCCAATACAGAATTCAACCTCTGATCTTGGCCTCATCATCTAACCCAGGGTTGCTCAGTCTTAGCGCTGTTGACATTTAGGACCAGATAGTTTTTTCTTTTGTGAGCTGTCTTGTGCTTTATATTGTGTTTAGCAGGGTCCCTGGCCTCTACCCATGAGATTCCAGTAGGACCCCCTTATCATCTGTGACAACCATATTTCCAGACATGGCCAAATGTCCCCACTTACGAACCACTGATCTAACCAGTTGTGTTCACCAGATTCTGATCAATTAGGTATAAGTGAAGAAGATATAAAAAGTAATAGCATGATGATTTTGTTCTGGAAGGCTTTCTGGAGGAGGCAAATTTGGGGTCTGTGTTGAGAATAGGGAAGTGGGAAGTGCTTTGTGGGTAATCTGCTCTTCTTTTTTCCCGTGTCTGTAGGGCGTTTGAACTGGTGGGTGAGTGTGGATCCCACTTGTCAGAGGCTGCTTCCTTTAGCAACTACTGGAGATGGGAACTGCCTTTTGCACGCAGCCTCTCTTGGTGAGTCTTGAAGATGGCCCTTCGGTCCCTCGTAGAAAGGAATCAGAGTTAAATGTCATGTGCAGGACTTGTTCCCACCAGCCTTGATGTGTGTGTGTTGGTGCAGGAGGAGATGGAAGAGAGCCCTACCCTTGTTTTTCAGTCTCATTCAGAAATCTCTTGTAGGACACAGACTTACCGTGGGTCCTACTCTGAGGGTTGACCCTCAGAAGTAGTGAGCAGCAGAAAACAAGCAATATAGCTCTGTGTGTATATGTAATTCTACTTAGTATTTTACTCTTTGGGTATATATAAAAAGACATGTCTTCATCAGTCCTTTGTGAGACTTGTTAACTTTTAATTATAAAGGTTGTTTATAATTTAATATATTATTTGCCTTAGCTTTAAAAAAGTCCACATTTTCCAACTATCCCTCAATATTTGATGCTGATTGTCATGTGCCAGAGCTGTCTGTTCTGCTGCTACCCATTTAGTTTGTTAGACTTGTATCATGCATAGGGGCTTCCTGTCAGTAGTTTGCAGGAAGGAGGTGGTGTATCCTCCACTTTCAAGTCTACAAAGTTTCTGAATGTCCAGAGTAGGAACATCTTTTCTTTCTTGATTAAGTACCTATCCCCTAAGTCACAGAATGGTTTCTTTGAACTTGGGCTTCAGCCTGATTTCCTTCATGCCAGGGTCTGTGTATCATAATTAATAAGCGGAGTTGAGTGACAGTAAGGTGTCTTACCGTTATGTTTTCTTGCCACAGGGATGTGGGGTTTCCACGATCGGGACTTGATGCTGCGGAAAGCTTTGTATGCACTGATGGAAAAAGGAGCCGAGAAGGAAGCGTTAAAACGACGCTGGAGGTGGCAGCAAACACAGCAGAACAAAGAGGTGAGGGAACTTGGATGGGAGTACCTTGCTTCCCAGAATTACCCAGGGGTAATGCTCAGTGCCTGCCAGTAAGAAGTGTCTCCTGGTGCTTAGGGGCTTGGGTCCTCCTGTAATCCTGGGAAATTGTAGAATATGCAGATAATGCCATAGGGTAAATGTTTTCTGATCTAGTGTTGAGTACTGGTGTGGGGAAGCTGAGACCTATAGAAGAGGTGTATCTAACGGCTTTTCACCTGATAGGGGCTCAGTAGGTCCTTAGTGGTAATCTTTTGCAAGATGAGATATGACAAATCCATAGGATTTTTGTATTGTTTTGATTTTATTGCTCAAAATAAGACCAGTTTTTTAAGGACTTGTGTTTTTGACCCATGTAGAAATAGAAATGTTTAAAAATATTTTTGGCCATCTATACCATTTATTTTTTTAATTAGTTTGTTTAAAAAATTTAAAAGTATGCCTGTTACATTGAATTTGAATGGTACTTCTTAGGGGTTTAGCAAATGTTGAAGCTGCTTTTGTATATGGAAGTAAAAATGGACTGTTTGTACTCTCCATGCACATAGCAGGGGTTGGGCAAACTATGGCCTGTGAGCCAAGTCCCATCAACTGTTGTTGTAAAAAAAAAAAAAAAAAAAATGTTTTATTGGAATACAGCCCCACCCATTTATTTACATGTATATGTTTATGTCAGTGCTTTCCTGCTACAGCAGCAGAATAGAGCAGTTGGGTATGACCTACGAAGACCAAAAGATTTACTATCTGATTCTTCATAGAAAAAGCTTACCCACCACTTCCCTTTAATACTGACATTAACATTTATATAAACACAGTGGGTCTCCCTACTTCCTTCTCCCCTCGTTCTGTCTTCTGTGTTTATCTCCTGCTCTTTGGGTATATCTGTTTTTTGCCATGCATGTATATATAGCTGGGTGTTTCTGGAATTAATGTGAGAGTATCTCTTCAGAGACCTACCCTCTTTTCATCTTCTTTATGTTCTTCTTTTATTGTATCGTAACTGACAATATATAGAACTAAGAGACTTTTTGGTTTTAGTCAGAATTTTATGTCCTGACACCTTAAAATATGTAAGTAGAATGTGTTCTTTTTCAAAAACAAAAGAACCCATTGTTAACCTAGGATGATAGTAAGATCAGCATTCTATCTTTGATCAGCAATCTGCCCCAGAAGAAGATTCCTCAGGAAAATAAATGCACAGGGCGAGGCCAAGTAAATGGCAGGTTCTGTCGCCTGAGCTGGAGCCAGCCCAGAGTTTGCCTTCTTCACACCAACCCTGAACCTGCACCTTGTGTTTCATCCTTTGGGAGACAAGGAAAGGCCAAACCAGAACATGCTGCTTATTAAGAGAAGTGACAGCAGCAGTCAGAGAACAGGGTGCCCAATTCCAGCTTTTAAGTTAGTGTAGTTACAAAGGTGGTGTTAGATTACGAGAGTACTTAGCGAGGAGGACCAGTGAAAATACATGCATGGAGAATAGTCACTATCAAAGGAGCAATCTCCTTTTGCTGGGCACATTGAAAGTTCCATACTGGAAATATAGCCTGGAATAAAATAATTTTTTTAGCGTCTTGAGCACCTTTTGGCATCTCTAGGCCACACTGGAAGAAGAATACTTGTCTTGGGTCATATGTTAAATACACAAACACTAACAAAAACTGATGAACAAAAAAAGGTTTTAAGTAAATTTACAATTTTGTGTTGGGCCGCATTCATAGCTGTCCTGGGCCCCATGCAGCCTATGTGCTGCAGGTCAGATACCTCTGGATCACTGTTTTATCTCAGACCATTCAGACCTTGGGAGTGGGGTTGGAGGAAGAGTGGCCATGGGCTGGGGAGCTTCTGTTAGCCAAGACCAAACACCGAACAAAATGGTTTCTATTTCTCAGACCTCCTTTTTTTGTGTTGAAATTGGTGGTAAAACCCAGTAAGAACATTTTTAGGCTAGAAGGGTACGCCACCTAGTGGCTGTGTGTATAAGAATAGCAAGCAGAAATGTGAAAGGAAGAGGGAGGGAGATGTGTATCAGTGACTATATATATATATGTATATATACACATATACACATACACATACATACATACATACATATACACTGATACACATACATATTTATACACATACATACATCAGTGGCCATATATATGTATATATATCAGAGTGACCAGAGCACCCCATATATAACCTGTGCATTGTTCTTATTTTCAATTGAAAAAAAATGTGATATCATTTTATAGACTAAAGATAGCTTTGTCATTTTTAAAATTAAAGTGGAATGTGCTCACAGTAGCTCTTTAAATCCTGTTAAGTTTGTTCCTCATGACCCTCATGTTTCCACTGTGATTCGTTTTATTTTGTCAGTGTGTGTTTAAGCAGTACAAACTCATTTTAAGACTAATGTAAGTCAAATACAATAAGGTAGACTGGTCTTCCAAATCATCATATACATCCTAAAGCTAATATGATATTCTTAAATTGTTCGTACCACTTTTGCTCCTTTGAGAAAAATTATAGTTTCACTCAGCATATGCATTTATTGATTACAGAACACATAGTAGGCACTAGGTGTTTTGCATGAGACTTGGTCCAGGCCCTTAGAAGTAGCAGTAGGAGATGGGCATGGAAATACATAATTAAAACCACTCTCCCATGATAGACGTCTGTGCAGCAGTTGAGGAGGGAGAGCACAAAGGATGCAGTGGTTGATCTACCAGCAACATTTATGAAAGGCTTTCTGGAGGAGTGATACTTGCGCTCTCTCCTGACAGCTGAGGAAGTCTTCCTGGTGGGTAGAGGGAGTGCACTGCTCCAGGCAGAAGGAGCAGCTTAGACAAAAGCCCAGAAGTATTAAACAACATGGCACATTGAAAGAACTACAGCGAATTAAAGGAGATATTTGATTAGAGAGGTGGGTAGGGGCCAGGAAGTAGACTTTGTATGCTATGCTTAAGGAGTTTGAACTATATCTAATATGTAACGGTAATTCTTAAAGGAATTTATAGAAGGGAGCAAACATCATCAGGTTTTAACTCTTTTAAAAAAAATCTTTCTGGTGGCATTGTAGATAATGGATCAGTAGAATATATGACTGGAAGTAGTAAAACCAGTTTTAAGGGTCTGTTGCAGTAGTTCATGCTTAATGATTGTTGACTAAAGGGATCTGGGTGTGGGTAGGTAAAAGGAGAGGAGTCTTTAATAACTCCCTGGCTTCTGGCTTTGGTGTCTGAGTGCTACTTAGTGCTATTCACTAAGGTAGGAATATAGAATGAAGAGTGGGTTTGGAAGAGGTAGGAGTTCAGTTTTGAATGTATAGAGTTCGGGGTAGTTGTGGGCAGGTGGCAGTCTTCAGCAGGCCACTGAGTGTGAATATAGGAATTATTCACTATTTGTAGAGCCTTGAGCTAAGCACTGGGGTGGGGGAGGTGGCAGGAAAGGGGATATATAGACCCTTGGATAAAAAAACAAGGTATAGATTAGAACAATGCAAAATTCTCAAAAGATTCAGAGTAAAGCAGTTGGAGTCAATTGATGAGGCTTCCTAGGAAAGAATTAATAAGCAGGGGCTGGAGTGAAAGGGAGGACTCAGTTGGCAGAGTGGGGTAGAGGGATCGCCCCCTAGGCAGGAACATAGCCTTAATGATAATCTTCCTGGTCTCCTGCAGCTGGAGAGGGAGACGTTAGAGTCCTGAGCATATAGGTGGCAGTAGATGAGACTGAGGCAGTCGGGGAGGAGATAACCCAGAGTAAGCAAGGCTGAAATCATTGACACAGCAACAGCATTTCTGAGGTAGCAGAGTTCACAGCGGTAGGAGAAAGTAACATTGTGGAAGCTAAAGGAGGAGGGCGTTTAAAGAGGAGATCAAGTGCCGCAAGAATGCTGAGAAAGATGAGAACCAGAGTCTGCTGAATTTGGCAGTTAGCAGGTCACTGTCCTTTGCCCAGAATTGGTTGGTGAAGTAGTCTGTGGGGCATGAAGGGCGTAGGCTGGAGGGCAGAAACAGAAGCTGGATTGCAATGGGTTGGGAAGAATGGAAGGAAAAGAAATGTGACAGAGATCATAGACTATTTTTTCATGGATCTTGGCTTTCAAAGGGAGAAGAGGTTTGACTTTGTAGTAAAAAATATAGGCCACATGCTAAGAGAATAGGGAGTGGGGTAATGTGAGCCCGTTGGAATGGCGTTTGCCTCTTGAATCTAGCCTCTAATTGCTTGATATCCAATGCCTGTCTTTCACACAGTCAGGGCTGGTATACACAGAGGATGAATGGCAGAAGGAATGGAATGAGCTGATCAAGCTTGCCTCAAGTGAGCCCCGCATGCATCTAGGTACCAATGGAGCCAACTGTGGTGGGTACGTATGGCTAAGTGGGGAGCAGGAAATAACGTTAACCGAATCCTCAGAGTCTAAAGTGCTCTGCGCTAAAAGGATGTTAGGAGGAAGGAGAGGAGCCTGGCACGGGCACAGAAATGCATGACAACATGGTATGTTCTGGGAACTTCTGGGTCATTCAGTATTGCTGGGATATAGAGTAAGAGGTGTGGAATGATAGATGAGGCTGGGCAACCCAGACTGCGTGTGCCACGCTAAGGTTTCTCTGTACCATGCTAAGGACTTAAAGTTGTGTCCTATCTGGACTTTGTGAAACTGCAGGACAGGTGACCCAATTTCTTCAATAACTAAATCACAAGGAAAATAATAGGAGGAAGGGAATGTAAGTTTAAAGACAGTTAAAAGACATAGCAACCAGTTGAAATGTATGGACATGTGTAAGACAGCTAAGGAAATGTGAAGAATGTCTACATGTTTGATTATTGTTAACTCTTTAAAGTGTGATATTAATGGCATTGTGAGTATTTTTAAAAGAGTTCTTTATGTTTTGGAGATAGAAATTGAAATATTTATGGATGAAATGCTACATCTAGGATTTACTTCAGAATAATTGGGTGTGGTGGGGGTGGTGGCTGGTAGGGAAATAGACCAAGGTGTGCGTAAAATGAGATGGACCACGTGTTTATAATTGTTGAGGCTGGGTGATGGATACAGAGAGTTTAGTATAATATTCTTTCTAGTTTTGAATAGATGTAAATTTTTGAAATTTTCTATAAGAAAAAACTAAAAATTATAACCAATTAAAAATTTTGTGTGCATAACAATAATCTGGGAAAATTGTTTAAAGTACAGATTTCAGGACCTGCACCCTTGAGTTGGACTGGGTAAAGCCCAGAACTCTGCATTTGTAGCAAGCACCAAATGTTGAATAACAGTGCTTTAAGGGGGTGGAAGGTCACTGAGTTGTGAGTAGGCAAGCGACAGGAGCAAATCCATGTATTTAAACACACTGAAGGCAGAGTGGATGATGAAGTGGAGGGGAGACTAGTGGCAGCTGTAGTGATCCCAGAAAGAGAGAGCCGTGGGTGTGACCCGAGTGGCGGATTGCAGATAAGCGGGAGGAGGCAGACACAGGAGACACTTATGGGGAGGAATTGGCAAAGCCAGGTGATTAACTGGAGTTGAGAGATAAAGAACAGTAAGCATTTCACAGACTTCTGATTAGGCTACTAGGTAGGTAGGAGTCTGTTCTCCAAGTACAGGAACAGGGGAGGAGGACTTTTTGTTTTTGTTTTTATTGGACAGACTGTGATGTGTGGGTGGTTGTGGTAGGTGAAGTCAGCAGGATAAGGCTACTCAGTTGTGTATTTAGCTCCTTTACAAACAGAATTGGGGAAGGTTGTTGAACAAGATGAATGTTAAGAGAGGAATTGCCTGCATATTCCTGCTACTACTTTAACCATAGAGCCTTCAAATCCCTTTTCTTGCATTTCCACGCCTGTGAGACTGAAGTAGAAACGGCCGTGGCAGCTTACAGTAGTCAGCTGTGTCCGCAGCAGCCTTGGGGGTAGAAAACCAGGCAAGGACGTTCCTCTTTTTCCTCTTTGCAGAATTGGTCTTCAGGGGTCTTTTGTTTTCTTCCCTCTCCCTCCTTCTGCAACCCTAGAGTGGAGAGTTCTGAGGAGCCTGTATATGAGAGTCTAGAAGAATTCCACGTCTTTGTCCTTGCCCATGTGCTTAGGAGGCCCATAGTCGTTGTGGCGGACACCATGCTGAGGGACTCCGGGGGAGAAGGTGAGTCAGTCAGCGCTCACTGCACCCTGAGCACCCACTGTTTGCGGAGTCTTGGGCTCAGCACTGGGAGGAGCGCTGGAAGGAGGGTGTATAGACCCTTCGGGAGAACACAAGGTGTAAATTAGAACAGCACAAAATTGTCCAGAGATTCAAGTTGGGGTTAACCGATGAGGCTTTTTAAGAAACAATTCTTAAGCAGGGTTGGAAGGAAAGGGGGGACTCAGTTGGTAGAGTGGGGCAGAGAGATTGCCCATTAGGCAAGAACATAGCCTTAATGATAATCTTTGTGGTTTCCTGCAGCATTTGCTCCCATTCCCTTTGGGGGCATCTATCTGCCCTTGGAGGTCCCAGCCAGCCAGTGTCACCGCTCCCCTCTGGTGCTTGCCTACGATCAGGCCCACTTTTCTGCACTTGTGTCCATGGAGCAGAAGGAGAATGGCAAGGAACAAGGTGCCAGATGTCATGTCTGTGTCTCGGGCGTGTTGTGATTTGCTTTATTTCATGGGGAAAAACTGAAGTGCGAGAGAACGTAGGAGGAAAGAATTAAATGATGTGCATGCCGAGGCAGTGCCTATTGATACTATTCTACAGTACTAAACTATAAGATATGCCAGGGTTTAAAATTAAAAAAAAAAAAAAAATGGTTTGGGGAAAACCACAGTGGCCTATATTCCCTGCTCTCTGTTCTGAAGTAAAGAGCTTACATATTAAGGCCATAGAACCTTCCAGGTGATGCTCTGCTGTATTTGTCTTACTGACTTTCAATTCCCTGAATCCACATTAACTGGCAAGAATATCATGGGTGTTCGTTGACTGGTGGGGGGTCATGGAGATTAGTGGCCTAAATTGTATGCTGGGAAGTAAGAGAAAACCAGCCTGTAAGTTTTTAATGCTGGGATAATTCGCATGTAAGACCCGAGAAGTGACTAGTTCTCACGACATACCTGTGGTACGAGTGAGCCTTTTTCAGTGAAGTCAGTGTGCGTTCACTCGCCTGCTTCTCCCTTTGAAGAGACTACTTGATGACGTATTTTTCCCTCTCCCAGCTGTGATCCCACTTACAGATTCAGAACATAAGCTGCTGCCCCTGCACTTTGCTGTGGACCCTGGAAAGAGCTGGGAATGGGGCAAAGATGACAGTGACAATGTCCGATTGGCCAGGTGAGGCAGGCCTAGCCATTCCATGTGCTTCATAAGTGCGATCTCACACATTCAGCGTCGTCTCCTGGGGACTTTGCCTCAGCTCAGAGGCAAGCCAGTCACATCCTAGCTCCCGTGTCTTCGGGAAGATGCACAGGTGGAAGGAGGGGTGGCTGCCAGGACTCCTGCAGCACGCACCTGCTTTTTCTCCCTGTGAAAGATGGGACTCCTGGGCGCTCAGCTTGTTCTTTCCTTACAGTAGAGAGTGTTCTTACACTCATACCTCCCAGAATCCCCAAAGCAGGGATCAGAAAATCAGGGTGCTCAGTTCACAGTTGTCCCAGATCAAGTGAGAGGGGTTTTAAATAGCTGACCAAAATAATTTGCTCTGGATTTTTGCCTTTCTGGAATTTAAACAGCAGGAAACATTGACCCCCAGCCCTTGCCCTGCCTCCCAAAAGCTGGTTTAGGCTTCCTGCTTCCCACCGCAGCACCCTGTGAGGCGGGTATGAACGTAAACGGTCCTCTTTATCTCTAACCCAGAGCCGCCTCCTTCAGGCTCCTGAAACTGAGACCCAGACGAGAGGGTTTGATTGAAAAACCCAGCGTTTATAACTTTTTAAGTAAATTCTCACCTAACTTTCAAAAGCTCCTTCTAAATAATATTTATAACGGTGATAACAATGGCCACTATTTAGTAAGAATTTCCTGTTTATTAGACACTGTGCTGTGTGCCCTCTCTAAGTGCTATTTTAATCTTCATAACAAACCTACAGGATGTATTATTATCTGTACCCATTACTGACTCCGTCTGAGTTTCAGAAAGGCTGAAGTGACTTGCTCAAGGTCATCAAGCTTAGGAACTGGTGGAGCTATAGTGCAAACCTAACCCTGAGTCCTAAGCCATGTGGCCCTCATCCACCCTCCCTCCCAAATGACAACACTGCTTTGCTTTTTAAAGGTCACAGTACATTTCTAATTCCCTTTTTCTCCTTTTTTCAGTGTAATTCTGTCCCTAGAGGTCAAATTGCATCTGTTGCACAGCTACATGAATGTGAAGTGGATCCCGGTGTCCTCGGATGCACAGGTGAGGATGTCATTGCACCCTTGTCGGTCCTCATTGTTAGTGATGGAGAACAAGGAGATCTGGTGCTTCTCTCCTTCTGAGTCTCTCCTGAGTGGTGGCTTATGATTCAAGATTAGCAATAACTGGACAATGTCAGATAAGTTTCCAAAGTCCTTTTCTCCTGCCTTTCTACCCATTAGTGCCCCATTTCACTTCAGCCAAGCTCTGCTTTCTGATACGAAAACAATTTCTTCAAGAAAATTTTTCTTGACTTTTTGGTGAACTTGAGGTCGTCATTACTTTGTCTCGAGCTGTCTATACATAGGCCTCTGTGTTGGCACCAGAGGAGACAGAACAGCTTCAGGAGCCCCCGATCAGTAGGTTCTGAGGACGCCATTAGTTTGCATAGAACAGGAACTAAGGCAAGGAAGGGCAAATTGATGGACTCCCATGCTGATGTCTTAACAGTTGAGGGGCTCCGTTGCTGAGGGATTGGAGTGGTTTGGTTGAGGTTAGTCAAGACTTAATCCTGAGTGTGATTTTGGGAAGAATTTGGCTTAGAGAAATTTATAATGAAAGAAGTCATTGCAGTGGGCGAGACAGAAGCTGAATGTTAGATACATCTTTCCCTTGTCCACGGGAGAGTGACTGGAGCTGAGGAAGGACGGTGCCCTCGTGGGTGGCCCTTCTCTGTCAGGACAGCAGCCCTTCCCTGAAAATACTCAGTCACTCCAAGGATGGATTCCTAGGGGCATTACCACCCTCTTCCACGTGGCTAATGGCTATAGCAATGGCTACAGAGAGCCTTATGAGCCAGATGGTGATCTAGGGGTCCCTGGGGACCTCCCCCAACTCAGCCCAGTGGGATAACGGACAACCCTGTTTTTGTCTCTTCCAGGCTCCCCTGGCCCAACCTGAGTCTCCTACGGCCTCAGCTGGAGATGAGCCCCGGTCCACTCCTGAGTCTGGGGAATCAGACAAGGAGTCGGTTGGCAGCAGTTCTACCAGCAATGAGGGCAGCAAGCGGAAAGAGAAGTCAAAACGAGATCGGGAGAAGGACAAGAAGAGGGCCGATTCAGTGGCTAACAAACTGGGCAGCTTTGGCAAAACCTTGGGCAGCAAGCTCAAGAAGAACATGGGAGGCCTGATGCACAGCAAAGGCTCCAAGCCTGGAGGGATGGGGACAGGGTCTGGGGTGAGCAGTGGCACTGAGACACTGGAGAAGAAAAAGAAAAATTCGCTGAAGAGCTGGAAGGGTGGCAAAGAGGAGGCCGCGGGGGATGGGCCTGTGTCCGAGAAGCCCACGGTGGAGGCCGTGGGTAATGGAGGAAGCAAGTATAGCCAGGAGGTGATGCAGAGCCTGAGCATCATGAGGATTGCAATGCAAGGGGAGGGGAAGTTCATTTTTGTTGGAACCCTGAAGATGGGTCACCGTCACCAGTATCAGGAGGAGATGATCCAGCGCTACCTTTCTGATGCTGAGGAGAGATTCCTGGCAGAGCAGAAACAGAAGGAGGCAGAGAGGAAGATCATGAATGGAGGGGTGGGGAGTGGGCCTCCTCCGGCCAAAAAACAAGAGCCAGATGGCGGGGAGGAGCTGCTGACAGCCCCCCAGACAGAGTCCAAGGCGATGTCGTTCTCTACTGGCTACCCTGGGGGCTATACAATCCCTCGGCCTTCTGGGGGTGGAGTTCACTGCCAGGAACCCCGGAGGCAGTTGGCAGGGGGTCCGTGTGGGGGGGCCCTTCCACCGTATGCCACCTTCCCTAGACAGTGCCCTCCTGGGCGACCCTACCCCCACCAGGACAGCAGCCTTTCTCTGGAGCCAGGCAGTCACTCCAAGGATGGAGTTCACAGGGGCGCATTGTTACCACCCCACTTCCGCGTGGCTGATTCCTACAGCAACGGCTACCGAGAGCCCCCTGAGCCAGATGGATGGGCTGGAGGGCCCAGGGGGCTTCCCCCAACCCAGACCAAATGCAAACAACCGAACTGCAGCTTCTATGGACACCCCGAGACAAACAACTTCTGCTCCTGCTGTTACAGGGAAGAACTGAGGAGGAGAGAACGGGAACCGGGTGGGGAGCTACTGGTGCACAGGTTCTGAGGCGGGGACCTTGGAGGGCAAGGGGGCTAAACAAAGAAAGTTCAGCTCAGCTAATTGGCTCATCAGGACCCAGCCCCCCATGTTGATGGGGCAACTGCAGTGATACTCATGGGAGCCTGGCTGGAAACTTCAGTGCGTGTGCTGGAGGGCTGCTGGGCCCGCAGGAGCGGGTGGGGCTGGACAGCACCTCCGGGGCTGTGCTCGTCCTTTGCAGCCCTTGACTTGATGGGACTGAAGAGGTACAAGGGGGAAAGGTGGTGATTCTGTCTCCCAGCCCCGTGGGTCCATCCCAGGACCTGAGGGACCTCAGGCAGCTTTGGTGTGTGGGGGTTGGGAAGTAGCAGACGTCTGGGAAAGGAACAGGCAAAGGTGGTCCTCAGTCAATAAAGGGAAAACACAGACCAAAGTTCTTTCAGGTTGGAAAAAAGCACATGGTGGTGGAGTTGGGGGTGTGGAGAGAAACTGGGAAATTAGACAAATTTGCTATTGACTTGAATTAAGATGAAAATTAAGGTTGGATCAAGTCTCCTGAAGGATCTGGAAAGACAAGGCAGTCGTGTGCTTATGGGTGCCCATTAGGAGGGAGTTTAAGTCGGTTTATTGAGATGGGAAAGGGAAGAACTTAAAAGGGGAATCCTTTTCCTCTTAAGTTTTATTTCCTTCTAAACACCCTCTGTCATCTGTTCTAGATCAAGAGGAGATTGCCGATTGCCCCCTCTTCTCCTTGTCCTTTTCGAGGGCTGAGCTCAGCTAAGTTAAGAAGGTTGTGTGGTTTTTTTTTAAAAAGACTTTTCATTTTATTTTATAAAAAGAAAGTTCCCTCTGGGGAAGGGAAGAGAGTGATGAGAAGAGCAGCTGTGTGTGTTGAATTTTCTCCAGGTGAATTGGTGCGGAGATGACCTTTTTTTAACTACTTAGCAATAACCACATACTGGGGGTTGAGCACGCCTTGGGACGGGTGGGAGGAGGGCAGACCTTTGGCCAGACTGTTTCAAACCAAATCAAAAACTTAAGTAGAGCACTACCATCCTCTGCTGCTGCATTTCTGTAGAAAGCAACTTATTTTTTGACTTTTTTTAAAGGAAAACAAGACCCCAGCAAGCAAAAACTTTTAAAAATAATTCCCCCCCCCCTATTTAAGTGATTCTTTGTCCTTCCTCTCTACTTTTAGAGAATGAACTTAACACCCTGGCTTTTTTGTTAAGCCATAGCTGACCTTAATCTGTGGTTAGTTTATTAAAATAATAAAAAAAATACTTTGTAAGAAGAGATATTTTTGATAATAGGACTGATGTTGAAACATGGGGTAGGGGTTGGGGCAATTTATAAAAAGGTAGAGAAGTCTGTTTTAGTGAACTATAACCACAGATCACAGATTGCTCCCAATGAGCGGATCTGCCTTTGGATTTCCCCCCTTCCCTGACCCAACTGTTTTCCCCAGGGGGTGGGAGTGGACCTGTGGACACGGTGGGGGGAGCTCCTTTGCATTTTGCACAAAGCACAAGTCTGGACAGCCTACGCTCTGGCCAGCATCATTTTTAAGAGCTTTAAACCAGAGGACCTATCCTGGGCCAATTTTCCTTTCTTTTTTCCCCTGGGGGAAAAAAAATAAACTATGCAATTGTATACACTCCTGGGTACATACAAAGACGGGGAGTAAGTGTACTTAAGTGTCCAGGTGTTAACCGGGGCTATTTTTCTGTATTTGGAGGTATGTACTCATAGCCCACCCCGTGGAATGTAATCCTCACATTTGATCTAAGGCGGATACAGGCTGTGGGGGTGTGGTGGGGGGACCCCTGTTTGCCATATGTTGCTTCTGCCCAATCAGTAAAATGGTCATCTTGCTCCCCCCTTGGTAACAAAGCCACCAAGACACTCCTTTTTATTGGAACTGCTCACATTTTAGAAAGGTTCCTCCTCAACAAACTTGAAAGTCACTTATTTTCCAAATCTGATAGTCTGTTGATTTAATCATTTCCTATGCCTGGGAATTCTTAAGCTTGTATTTGATAATAGACTGGTTTTAAGGAAGCAATGAAGTCAAAGTAGTCAGGTTCCAAAGGCAGGTGTGTGTGTATGCTGGGCAGCGCTGGGATTAGGTGACGAGCACTCCTCTCAGGTACAAAGCTCAAGAGGGTACCGAAAAAACGCAGCAATCAAGATAATGTTTTAATGTAATATTTTTAAAAATTAATGCAAAAAACCGCATAATGAACAAAACATCAAAATCTTAAAGATAGGATTCAACAGGATTAGGATTAAGGTAAGGGCAGTGAGGCTGAGTTGAGCAAGTGTGGGGTTGAATCCTGTCTGTATTTAAAATTGTGATACTTTGTTCACTGTGGTTTTTTCACATTAGTTTTGATTTTCAGAAGATACTGCATTAAGATAGTATCTTGGTTACTGGGTTTTGGGCACCATTTAAATTTTGTGCTCCAAATGAGTGCCTTCCTCACCTCACCCTGTTTCCGGGGTTAGAACAACACTAGTGAGACCACCACTTCTTGGGCTTCCATCCCCTGATCTGCACCCAAACAACAGGTGGCTCGAACTCACACCTCGAATTTACACAGCTCACCTAGCTTTCTCATAGGCACCCATCTATACCACAGGGTTCTGGCCTGGACCAAGAAGCATGGAAACAGACCAGGGGTTCCCCCAGAGAATAGGACAGGAAAGTGTTAGATTCTCCACTGGACTGCTGTGTTTGGATTTGCTCTGTTAGTTCTAGATAATACTTTTGTTTTTAAAAACAGGACAGATGAACAAAAATGGAAACGTTGTGTCATGTTTGGTTTTTGTTTTGATTTATAAATTAACCAATCCCAATTTCTTCTGACTTCTTTTTTCAAATAAAGATGGAAATTCTGGGCGGCAGCCTAGGGGCAAGTATGGTAAAATACGGCTTTATTTAGGCCCTATAGCTTTTTATTAAGAAATAAATTAATATTTTTCTTAATTTGAGAAGGCAACTATTTATTCAGGCATTCAAAAAGCTCTCCACTCTAGGGAGGCGGGACCCTGATTCAATGGATGTTTTTCTATAGGGATGACTAAGGTTTGTTTTGCTTTATTCTTTGAAGAGCGTTGTGTGGGATGGGGGTGGTGGGTGAGGAAATAGTGCCTGGGAAATGAAGTTGGGTTGGTGTGTGGTATTTTGGGAAGGTGAGGGGGTGGAAGAGGCAAGCCCATGCAACTGCTGTGCTGGGAGAGGGCAAGAGCGGTACACGGTGTGCACGCAGCATGAGCAAAACTGCTAGTTATGGAGGGGTCCATGGGCGGAAGGGGGAGGCAGACCCTGCAGCCCAGCTGAGGGGAGATGCTGTCTCTCAGGCTTAAATAAGTGCACTTAGTTCCTTTAATCCAGGGCATTGGGGCACCTACTGAGGTTTTTATTGGAGAGGGGAGATTTTCCCCTTTTTGATTTAAGACTGCTACTCCCTCATTCACCCCAGTCCTGATGGAACAAGTATTCTGCAAGCCTCCAAAATCCTCCTTTTATGCTGGTTTTGTTGAAGGTTACAAGATTTAAAAGTTTTTCCCTCATACATACTGGATTCTGTCATCAAAATAAAAGATTATATATATATATATTTTTTTTTTATTAAGATTCAATCTCTGTAGAGTGGGGATGGTGTTAAGCACAGCGCTGTATGGCCTGGAGGGAAGCACCCTCCCTCTTCTGTTGGCCCAGTTTCTTAGGCAAAACTAAAGCTCACAGACCAATAAAACAAAAATGAGCAATGACTTCGTGTTGTGTATTTGGGAGGTGATGCTGAGTGACTTCAGAGAACCTGACTTTCACCACTGTTGAACCTTTCTGGACAACCACAGGTCCAAGGTTCCAGTCACGCTTTTCCTTTCCCCGTAAAGGAGCTTGAGATGATTGTCCCCGAGCTACCCAGACACATAGCCACAGGTGAGAAGGTGGAATTAGAAGCCCCTTCCTGGCCTGGAATCATCTGCACTTCAGATTTTTTTAGTGTCCTGTTCCCTCCAGGCCCTTCAGCTGTAGATCAGTGAGTCACGCAGGCACTCTGTCTCTCACTTTGTAGATACCCAGTCTGCAAGTCGCAGGTGGTTTTGTCCCATGTACTTAAGTTGATTAACAAAGTATTATTAAGTCTCCCATGTAGATGCTTTCCATGGCACCTCGTCACTGGCCTCACGGGTAAAGGCCGGTAGGAACGGAAGCTGGCTGACTAGCAGAGTGGACAGGAGTGGGGGTGGGGAGGACTTTGGCCTTTTTCTGGGCTTATAAGGATCTGTGACTCATCTTCTGAGTCACTCAGCTCCTCCAGCTGCCCCTCCCTGCAGCCTTCACTCTTGGCACAAATCTGCAACCAGATCAGGATTCTGAAAATGGAAAAATCTGATACAGCCCCTTGCCTTTCCACCGGCCCTGTCATCCACTGAGCCTCCACTGGGTGCGTGTGGGAGCGGGTCCTGCCGTTACCTCTCAGCTGCTGCCCCCACGGCATTCCTGTTTGGGTACTAATCCATTTTTTTTTTTTTTTTTGCCTCTGACTTTTCCCCCAATCTCCTGATGTTTTACTCTGTATTCCTCTGCTGTTCCTTACCTCAAAGTATTTACAGAATGAGGCTCTTGAATGAAGGGTGGTGGGAAGACGAAAGTGGACAGTGAAATTTTAAATTTGTGGTACACACCTCTTCTACTGCGGCAGACCTTGGGGAGTATTTTCTTCCTCAGAAACCGAGGCCCGTAGAAGGCAGGTGGGGTTGGCAGTGCTTAGTAGCTATTAGGACCTCGAGAATCAGGAGAATCAGGCTCATGGGCCAGCCACCTTTTTGTAGCAGGTGTGTGCTCTTTGTTCCAGATTGACTCCCTGTCTCACAATATGTATTTTCACTATTTCCACAGTTGCAGCCCAAACAGGGAACTTTTAAAGCTGAGGCCGGAAGGGTGTGTGTGCTGGGGGTTGGAGGGAATAAAGTGACACTTTGGAAAACTGGGGCCCCACCTAAGGATTGCTGCCTCTGTACAGACTCAAAATCAATAAAACAGCAGCTCGTTAACTCTTTGTATTTTATTTCCTGCCTTTTTCATATCTAAATATAGATTTTGCCTTGCTTTCCTCCCCCAGGCCCCTTCCCCTGCAGTTCCTTTACTTCTCTCCTGGTGCCCTCCCCCCACCATTGCTTCTTGGGCTGCAAGGGGGAGGGAGGAGGAATGGGACTGTTCAACAGCAGAGGTTTCCAGCCCTCAGCTTTCAGAGTCCTGAGCGTGAATTATTAATTTGGAGATCTGGTGTCTGGGTTGGAGGGAGGAGTCGTATACCTGGAGTGGGCTCCGGTTTCTAGTTGGTCGGCGGGGGCTGGAGCGGGGTGTGTGTGTGATGGGTTAAGCGGTGGCATCTTTTCCTTGGGCCTTCCACCCCCACCCCAGAACTTGTGCATAAACAGACTCTTAACTTGGGTCTGCCTCCTGGAGAGATGTTAGTTTCTCACTTTTCCACTGCACCCTGCACACAAGGTATGTTTCATGCTCTCTGGAGAAGGATGTACACAGACACTAACTGGACCCCCTCCCCAGCTCTTGGGTCTCCCCAGGCAAAACTCCTCTGAGGTCTAATTTCCATTTACTGCTCAACCCCTTTTGTAAGGTCTGTCAGCGGAGGCTGTATGGAGGCCTGAACTGCTTTTGCGTCCCTCCCACTTCCTCCACCGCCCGCCCCTTTTGAGATATTAAAAAACCAAGCTTCCCGGGAAAGCCACTCGGGATAGTCTTAGAGAAGTGGCCTGAATTATTCCGATTTAATACTCGGTATCGCTGCTCCCCTCAAACAGTCTCCAATATTCATGAACCGGAAGAGCAGGGAGCAGGGTAAAAATTTGAATCTGGGCTATTTCTTTCCCCAGTTTTCCAGTTTTTTTCCTAGCCTTTCCCAGGCTCCTCCACTTCCTCTCTACTTTCCCCAAATGGTGTGTGTATTCCTTTAAGGGGCTGGGCATCTCCCCCCGTCTCCGGAGTCGACTGAAGTTTCCGAGGAGCCTCCTCTAGCTGGGCTGGACACACCTTTCAAAGACCCCAAATCGTGCTCCGTGCACCTCAAACGCTCCTTTTCCCTGAGCGTCCCCCAACCCCGCCCCTGACTTCCCTCCTCTCAACCGCCAGATCCAGCCTCTCCCCAAGGGGCTTGAGCATCCTCGAGGTTTCCCACCCTTAACTGCTCCTTCTCCGGCTCCTTCTCCGGATGGAGCGGGAGAAATGTGGTGGGGGGGCCGGGGCCAGAGTTTCAACATCGCCCCCCAGAAGGAGGAGCCAGAGATGGGGGTAAGAAGAGGAAAGCGGGTTTGGGGGAAGGGGTTGTCAGCAAGAGCTGTGAGTGGGGATGATGCAGAGATTAAAAAAAAAAAAGAAAAGAAAAGGATCTAGAGCTGGAGGAGGGTGTGTCTCATAGCAACTCGCTGATGGAGCTTGGTCTGTCCTTTTCAGTCTCAAGTTCAGCGTCTCATTATCCATTAACCAGCCCCTCCCTCCCTTTCCTCTGCCAACCCTGGTCCTGAGCACCCCACGGCCACTAATCTCAGTTTCCCCTGAGAGTCTGAGTGTAGGACTCCAAAGGTGGCTGCTCAGGTATTCCCAGACCCCAGGGCTGCAGAGAGCTGGGGAGTAACCCTGCACCCTTCGCAGCCCCCTGGACCAAAGTCTGTCCAGGGGAGTGGGATGCCGGAGCCCGGGAGCCCTCAGCTCGGCAGTTGCCTGGCCTCTGGATGCCTCCCAGGTAATGATGCTCTTCCAGTACTTCTGATCTTCAGAAGCACTTTCCAGTTTCATCCTACTCCAACCTCGTTCCATATCTTCACTAAAGATACCTTTGTATTCCTCTCCTGGCTCAAAGTGTCTCTTCTGTCTGAGGCTTATTCTCTTGACTCTGTCCAGCTGGCTGGGAGCTCTGACCTTCGTGGTCCCTCTGTTTTCTTGATGTTGTTACCCCTTTCCTCAATTATTTATTCAATAAATATTTGAGTGCCTACTACGTGCCAGGCACTGTTCTAGGCTGTTGAGTAAAAGATTACAAATTCTCTCCTTCTAAAGCTTTCATCCTTAGGAGTTAGAGGAGGGTCTTAATGGTCCCTCTGAGATCTCAGGTGAGTGGGTATGTATGCATGTGCGACACTGGGAGTGGTTATAACCTGGCTTCCCCTGCAGGGGAGCAGATCCTAGCATGGGCCCCAGGGGTGCGGAAGGGGCTGGAACCGGAATTGCCTGGAACCCTGATCTGCACCAACTTGAGGGTCACCTTCCAGCCCTGTGGATGGCAGCGGAGTCAGGTGAGATGGTTAAGCCCGGGGAAAGGACAGCTAGCAGGAAATGGGCAGGGGAGTCCAGAAGGATTAGACACACATCACAGGAAGTGAGATAATGAGAGTTATTCTTAAAGGCTCCCTTTTGAATGTATCAGGGATAGTCAGTGGGATCTCTCTCTAGGAAGGTGAGGGGCTGCTGAGTTGGGATGTGAAATTCCAGATGGCTTTAGCATGTCATGTGCTTCCTCTAGGAGACTCCCCTAAGCAGTGACTATGATTTTGCCCTGGTCAACATTGGGCGATTAGAGGCTGGTAAGTGGGGTTTGGGTGAAGGGGCTCCCTGGGAGTGTTGGGTCAGCTCCTTGGTCCTTTCTCTATTCTCTGAAGGCAGCCAGGGATGCAGTGGGATGGGCAGGAAGAGTTCCTCCTAGAGGGGCCCTGATCCGTGGCTACACTGCTCTCTAATTCTTGACCTCAGTGAGCAGCCTGTCCCGAGTTCAACTCCACCGCCCAGGGTCCCTGCTTAAATTCATCCCTGAGGAGATCCTGATTCATGGCCAAGACTTCCGGCTGCTCAGAGTTGGTTTTGAGACTGGAGGACTAGAGCCTCAGGCTTTTCAGGTAAGAGGCTCCCACCCCAAGGACCCCTCCTTCCCTGAGAACCTTGGGACCCTTGCCCTGGCACTTCCCAGTACTCCCTTATTTCCCAGGATCCCTCTTATCAGTCTCTCTGCTGCTTTCCTCAAGGGGTGGCTAAAAGGCTGGGATAAATGATAGTACAAGGAGGTAAAGGGCCTGAGTTGTAGGCCACCTATGCCGATTATCAGGCAATTGACTGTGGGCAAGTGTCTTCTTTGAAAAACAGGGAGGGTTGGAGAATATTATTCCTAATTCCTTCCCGAATGAACACTGTGATTCTGTGGTTCTAAATGTATTTTCCCCAACCCAGCTCCCTTTGTTAGGGACTGTCTCGGCTGTTCTTTATTAGTGGCAAAGACAATGAAGCAGTACGCCAAGGTTCCTTCCGTTCGCTTCGGTCTGAACCAGGATGGGACGTCCTTTCCTCCACAGGTGACCAAGGCCATTGTTCAAGCCAGAGCTCAGAGCAGCCAAGCCCAACAGTACGCAGGGATAACCCGGAGCAGGGCTGGTGAGTGAGAGTGCTCTGGGGTAAGGAAGGGCAGAGGGCCTGAAAAAGCAGGCCGGCTGAAGACAGAAGAGCTGAGAAGCTGCCTCTTTCTCTTCCCCTCTGCCTCACTCCTGCCCTAGGCCAGAGTTCTGGCTCCAGAAAACCACCTGTTCCCCTCCTCGAGACATCAGAAGAGTGGGAGACTGAGAGGAAAAAGCAGGGAGCCAGCGGCTGGAGGGTCAGTCTCATCAATGAGAGATTCGACGTAGCCACCAGGTGACCCCCTAGTCCACCTCGACCCCTGCAGCCTCCCAATCTTCCCACGGGTCCCAGACTCTCTGAAGCTCACTCCACACTGCACACTCTAGCCTCCTAGGACACCCACAAAACCATCCCCCTTACCTTCCAGATCTCTAAACCAGAGATTACTTGGAATGATCCCCCCCTAAGCAGCTTCCTTGTAATCACAGCTTTGCATTATGTGGTCACTGAGCCCAGATGTGACATAACTCTCAATTTCACAGCCTCTCCCGTTACTTCTGGGTGCCTATCCGAACTCTGGACAGTGAGGTCAGGAGAGCCTTTGGCCACTTTCACCAGGGCCGTGGACCGGTCAGTGTGAGGGGCAGGACAATGGGTGGGGATTAGAGGGTGATGGGAGGTCAGGGGTCATGGTGGAGGGAGGGGATCCCTGTGAGGTCAGTGCAGTGGCAAGGGTAGGGTGGGGCTAGGAGCTTCTCCCGCAACAATCCCCCTCTCGCCCACCTGAAGCGCCTGTCCTGGCACCACCCTGGGGGCAGTGATCTCCTCCGCTGTGGAGGCTTCTACATGGCCAGTGACCCTAACAAAGAGGACATCAGGTAAGGGACGTTTGATGAGAAGAACCAAAGGTTAGATGCTCAGGACAGACTCCTTCCCTTACTTTCTGACTTGCTCCCCTCCAGAGCAGTGGAGTCCATGCTCCAGGCTGGGCATTCTGATGTTGTCCTGGTAGACACTATGGATGAGCTGCCTAGTCTTGCAGATGTCCAACTTGCCCACCTGAGGCTGAGGGCCCTCTGCTTGCCTGGTGAGAATACCCTTTGACCCCTAGGTCTGCTGACCCTAACTTGGTTTGCCATTTGCCTGTGATAGATGAGTAACACTTCAGCGCAGTGACTCTTACTCTCCCATCTCCTACATACTGATTTCCTGTCTTCCAGACCCCAATGTATTGTTTTTTTTTTTAAACAGCTTTATTGAGAGATAATTTACATGCCATAAAATTCATCCTTCACCCATCTTAAGTGTACAATTCCCTGAGTTTATAATTTTGTACAAACATCACCACAATTTAACTTTAGAAACCTTATGGCCATTTAAAGGTACTTTTCATTCCTACCCCCAGCCCAAGGCGACCACTGCCTGACTTACTCTTAACACTTCAGGCTGTAGTCCCTGAATTCGAATCCCAGGTTCTAATCTCTTTGCCTTTCTGACCCCTCTACTCTGTCAGATTCACCAGTGGCCGAGGATAAATGGCTCTCAGCCCTGGAAGGAACACGATGGTTGGACTATGTCAGGTACTCCCCTCTTTTCCTAGCCGTAACTTACAATTCAACCCTCCCAAACATCTGTTAACTTGGGCTCCTAAGTGGCCTTCCATGAACTCTTCTCCTTGGTTTCCCAAGACTTACTTGCTGCCTCTCAGAAGGAGGAGGGGCAGGATTTTGGAGTTGGCCTCTGTTCTATCCCTTGACCCATCACTCCCCTCCTCCAGGCTTATCATTCTTCCCTCCTCTTCCTCACCTGCCCCTCCAGGTCTTGTCTTCGAAAGGCCAGTGACATCTCAGTCTTAGTGACATCTAGAGTTCGCTCTGTAGTACTTCAAGGTGAGTTTCTTGGGTCAACTCACTCCACTACCTGGCTTTTTCTTTTACCCACCTGCCTGGATCCTGCTCAGGGAGGGAGACCTACAAGGCTTCCTTGTCCCCTTCTAGTGCCGACATCCTTCTCTCCCTTTCCTAGGAACTACCCATGAGCTCTAACTTATCCCCAAGGGCTACCTCTGCCTCCCCACCACAGCTTGTGCTCCCTTGCAGAAGGGTTCTCCAGCCTCTGTTCCCATCCTTCCCCCAGTGGATGGGAATTGGGGTTGGGATGGGAAGGACAATGTGGAAGCTGGTTTCAGATTTAAGTGCTGCCCTCTACATGTGAGGCTGGGTATTTCTATCCAAGTGGAGTTTATGAAGTGAATCATTCAAGGTCTTTGTTTTCTCTTCACTTCTATGTGCCCTTTCTACCCTGCCTACCCCAAACTTTTCCCCTCTATACCTCTCACTTCTTGCTATGTTTCCTTTTCTCACTCTCTTCTGCCCTAGTTTCTTGGCCTCTCCTTCTTTGTCCCTTGTCCCTCTTTATCACCCAGAGCGCGGTGATCGTGATTTCAATGGCCTCCTCTCTTCACTCGTCCAGCTGCTTTCAGCCCCTGAAGCCCGAACACTGCTTGGCTTCCAATCGCTAGTGCAGCGAGAGTGGGTGGCAGCTGGACATCCCTTCCTGACCCGACTTGGGGGAACTGGGGTCAGTGAAAAGGTGAGAGAATATTTTGGGAGGGTATCGGGGTGGGGAGCAGTGTTACTAAAGAAGTAAGAGGATCCTAAAATGATCTAGTATAATCCAGTGGAGGTGAGTCAGGTCCTAAGGGTCCTGAGGTTAGGCTGAGTTTGAAGGGAGACCCAGATGTGTGAGGGACCACACTCCCTACTTTGCTCAATTCAGATTTCTATGTCCTGATCTTCTCCGTGGCCCCTGTTCCCTGTGTCCCCTTCATTTTGTCATCCTCCCCCTTGAGGTTCCCATAGTCCCTCCAACCTCTCAATTTCCCTCTCCTCAGGCCCCAGTGTTTCTCCTCTTCCTTGACTGCGTCTGGCAGCTCCTCCAGCAGTTTCCTGCTGAGTTTGAATTCTCGGAGTTTTTCCTTCTTGCTCTTCATGACAGTGTCAGAGTTCCTGACACCCTTACATTCTTGAGAGACACTCCCTGGGAGCGTGGAAAACAAAATGGACAGGTTAGTGGCTTCCATTTTTTGACTTGTCTTCCACAATGTTGTTCCCTCCCCTCCCCTCAATTGAGAAGTACTTTCTGGAGTTTAGTCTTTTTTTTTTTTTTTTTTTAATTTTGGAGAGAAGGGAGGGAGGGAGAAAGAGAGGGAGAGAAACATTGATGTACGATGTGCAAGAGATACATCGAATGGAGACCTGGCCTGCAACCCAGGCAAGTGCCTTGACTGGAAATCGAACCGGTGACCTTTCGGTTCGCAGACTGGCAATCAATCCATTGAGCCATACCAGCCAGTGCTGAAGTTTAGTCTTGATTTATAAAAGTGACGTCTGTGGGTAGGAAAGGGGGAGGCTGGTGCTCTCAGGACTGGATTTATACCCTACATTTGATTCCTGAAGTAAGAGATGAGTGTTTCACAATTTCTCTCTAGACCTGCAAGAAGGATTATGCATTTTTTGCTTTTGTTTGTTTAACCATTCTTTTTTCTTGTTTTCCTCTGTCTAGTTCAACTCCTATACACAAGTCTATACCCCAGGATACTCCCAACTCCCCACTGGGAACTCCGTTGACCCACAGCTGTCTGTCTGGGACTGGGATTTACGCTACAGCAATGAACAGATTCTACAATTCCATAATCCTGGCTATGACCCAAAATACTGCCCAGATTCCTGGCTCCCTAGACAGCAGGTAAGGTGTCTAAACTCCCTTGACTTTCTCACAGGCTCACCCTAATAGATGGGGAGAAGGTGAAAGATACAGTTTATGAGTTCCCCAGGGAAAACTACCCTGCTCCCCTTCTGTAGCTCTCACTCATTATCCCTGACTGTCCCCAGGGAGGCAGAAATCCTAGAATAGCAGAGGGCATCCTTTGGGTCCTCCTCATCTTGTCTGATGCACACATTTTACAAGTTTCCCTACAATCAACTTTAATCAGTCCTGAGGTCTACTCTGAAGCCCAATGAAGAGGAAAGTTTGAGTTCTCAGTGGGATGCTGGTAGTTCCATCACTTAGTGCAGTGAGTGGGTGGGTAGCTGGATAGTCCTTCCCGACACAATTTGGGAAAACTGGGCCATCTGGTTTCTATGTCACCAGTTGATTTTCTTTTCCCCTCAGCCAAGCTTCATGGTTCCTAGGCCCCCCAGTTCTGTATGGCTCTTCTCTAGAGGGGCCTTGACTCCCCTGAACCAGCTCTGTCCTTGGCGGGACAGTCCCTCCCTGCTGGCAGTCCCTTCTCGTTGGCTCCCTCGACCTGCTATTTCTTCGGAAAGTCTGGCTGATCAGGAGTGGGGGCTCCCCTCACATTGGGGAGCTTGCCCTTTACCCTCGGGGCTGCTGCTGCCTGGATATTTGGGACCCCAGATCAGGCTCTGGAGACGCTGCTACCTAAGGGGAAGGCCTGAGGTCCAGGTGAGAACGGGAGACAGGGATTGGGAATGGGAGAAAGGTTCGACTGCTGAACCAGATGTTCTTAGGAGAGAAACCAGATGTTTCTGATTTCTCTGGAAAGGCAAGAGGCTGGGGAAATTGGGAAGTGAAGGTACCATTCAAGTTGGTATCAAAGTGGATACATTTGGGAGTGTTGGGTGGGTGGGAGAAACTTTGTAGCTCAGATCAAGTGGAACCCAGGATATAGTTGGAGGGAGAATGGGGATTAAAAACACCAGAAGTAGTGAACAGATTTGAAAAGCAGAGAGCTGGAGCGGCAGTAATACTCTTCCTCTGCCTCTCTTTACTTCCTTCCCAGATGGGCCTCTCAGCTCCCACAATAACTGGCCTCCAGGATGAGCTAGCCCACCTTCAGGAGTTATTACGGAAATGGACACCAAGAATATCTCCTGAGGATCACTCTGAGAAAAGGGATCCAAATTCCAAATCCCGCTGAAATTGCTGGCTTTGCCATGGGCAAGGAAATAGGTGGTCTGGGGTAAGGGAGAGTTCTGTCTAGTCCTTTCCACTTTCCTTATCTGGTCTTGCTGCCTCAGCTTCCACATCCCAGCCCCTGAAACAAGGTCCTTGTCTCCAGTTTCCATTGCAGATGGTGGTGCTAACCTCCAACTTTTGCTCTGTCCCGTTTGGTTCCTCAAGGTTTTATATATACATATTTAGTCTCTTGTGCTTTGAAGAATTAAGAAACAAAAACAATCCAGAATATGATCACCTCTTTTTTTTCAGAGCAATTCCATCCCTTTTGGATATCCAGCTGTTAATTGCAAGATCAGTCCCAACAGGATGGCCTTACAAACCTCATTTTCACCTCCTCTTACTGCTTCTTTAATTCCAATTTCTACTTCTTCCCTTATAGCTTCCTATGGGTATGGAGTAGATATGGGAGACACCCTGTCTCCACATCCAATTGTATATTTTTGTAGTGAGATTTCTATTTAAGGGGTTCATTAAAGCACAGTATTTATACATGTTGCTGGCATTGTTTCTTGTGTCTGAATAAAAGATCCGAGGTGAGAGGGGCTGGTGTGACCGAGCGGATGGCACTCACGTTACTGGCAAGGAAATGAGGGGATGGGCCACGTGAAGGTCTGCACAATGCACATGCAATTTGGAGAAGGGGCTCTCGTTTCCTTGCCTCCCGTTTAGGGGCAGATGGGGCAGAAGCATACCAAGAAAATGGTTACTGGGGCCGGGCCAGGAATGATCTGGAGCTTGAGGCCTCTGGACTTCAATGTCAACCATCTCTCGGCTTCGGTCACCCTCAGTCTCCCCCTACCCCGCTATGCTGTAACCACGAGGCCAGCTGAGACGTCACTTAAGCTCCGGCACTCTGCAATCCCTCCCTTGCAGGTGACGAAACACTAACTCAAGCCCAGGCCGGGGCTGCCGAACGGGGTGAAGGGAGTGCCTCCGCGCCCCAAGGCAGCCGAGTCCTTGGGTTAGGAGGTTCCTCGCACGCTCTTCTCCGGGAAACAAAATATATGAAAAGTGAAGCTTTGTTCCTTAGCTTCCAAATTTACACTTTGAAAGCAGCGTGATCTTGTAGCGTCACACACGGCCGTGAGCAGTTCGGGGCGTTTCCGTTCCACCTTCTTCGCCCTGAGCCCTCCCAGCAACACCCTAGGGAACGACCAGGCACGGGACCGGTCCACCCAGCCGCAACACGTCTCAGCAGCTCCTGAAATGGCCGCGGCCGCTTCCGGCTCCGCCTACTGCCGCTGTCCGCCCCCGCCCCCGCGTCTGCCTTCGCTCCGGAAGTGGAAATAGTGACTGAGGTCGGGGGGCGGAGTTGCTGCCCGGAGACGGCGGGAGCTCCTTCGCCATGGCGGCCGGGCCGATCTCTGAGCGGAACCAGGGTGATTGGAGGGAACGAGTCAGGAATGGGTCCAGGGGGGCTGGGAGACCTCCACTATGGCCACCAGTGTTTTCTTGGGCACGGGAGACGGAGCCAACCCGGAGGGCGTAATACCAGCCCCCGTGCCTGCTGGGGGCCAGGTGGCCGGGTTCAGGCTAAGGCCTGTAGGTGTGATGCTTTGTCCAATCTTCTGCTTTTCCACTCAAAAACAATTTCACGAGGAGAACTTGCAGCAGAACTCTAGGAATTAAGAAGACTCTCTAGTTCCCGTAAAGGAGGTGTAAGGGCTTAATCTAACGTCGTCTTTTTTTTTTTTTTTTTTTTGATCCTATATTCTGTCTCCACCCCCAATTACCCTCCTGGGTTTCATCTTCATGTTCCTGTCACTTCTATTCCTGTCATACTCATCCCTACCCTAATCTCCTGCTCCCACCATCCAGATGCCACAGTGTACGTGGGAGGCCTGGACGAGAAGGTGAGCGAACCTCTGCTGTGGGAGCTATTTCTCCAGGCCGGGCCAGTAGTTAACACCCACATGCCAAAGGATAGAGTCACTGGCCAGCACCAAGGTGAGTACGTGGCAAGAGGTGCATTTATGTTCTGAAGGGGACAGACAGCACCTGGAGGACCCCAGCACTATTCGCAACTGTTTTGCAATAAGCAACCTACACATTTAGTTCTCTTAAGTGTATACATTCGATCTTAGCCAAAAGGCTGAGAAGCGATTCCTTGTCTGAAGTCTAACTCATAGTTTGTTTCTGGAACCGTTCTCAGTTGAAGTGAGGTTATTATTTCGTTGTGCTTTTGAAGGAGAATGAGTTATATACCCTGTTTTGAATCACTTTGCTTATTTAACCTTCTCTCTTCCACTTCTCCAGGCTATGGCTTTGTGGAATTCTTGAGTGAGGAAGATGCTGACTATGCCATTAAGATCATGAACATGATCAAACTCTACGGGAAGCCAATTCGCGTGAACAAGGCATCAGCTCACAACAAAAACCTGGATGTGGGAGCCAACATTTTCATTGGGAACCTGGACCCAGAGATTGATGAGAAGTTGCTTTATGATACTTTCAGTGCCTTTGGGGTCATCTTACAAACCCCTAAGATTATGCGGGACCCTGACACAGGCAACTCCAAAGGTTATGCCTTTATTAATTTTGCTTCGTTTGATGCTTCGGATGCGGCGATTGAGGCGATGAATGGGCAGTACCTCTGTAACCGCCCTATCACTGTGTCCTATGCCTTCAAGAAGGACTCCAAGGGTGAGCGCCATGGCTCAGCAGCCGAACGACTCCTGGCAGCCCAGAACCCACTCTCCCAGGCCGATCGCCCTCATCAGCTGTTCGCAGATGCACCTCCTCCGCCCTCTGCCCCCAATCCTGTGGTCTCATCATTGGGGTCTGGGCTTCCTCCACCAGGTAAAGCTTTTGACTTAAAATATGTTTGTTTTGGGTTTGTGGGGGATAGGGCAGGAAGAAGAAAAAAGAACCAACAAAGGAGGACATCGAGTCATTGGGTGATGGGAAGGGGTTGAAGGATGAGGTTGCGGTGGGGAGGAAAGTTGCTGAGTTTCTTCAGAAGGTTGAAATTGTTTGTGTTGGCTTACATTGCTTTTGACTCTTAGAGAACTGGGAGGGGGAGAAAAGAGCTTATGCTGCCTCGAGAGGCCTTATTGGAATAGGCTCTTTGAAGACATTCTCTTCTCTCTATCATTAACTCTTCTTCCATTTCCTCTATAGGCATGCCTCCTCCTGGCTCCTTCCCACCCCCGGTGCCGCCTCCTGGAGCCCTTCCACCTGGGATACCCCCAGCCATGCCCCCGCCACCGATGCCTCCTGGGGCTGGAGGACATGGGCCCCCTTCAGCAGGAACCCCAGGGGCTGGACATCCTGCACATGGACACTCACATCCTCACCCGTTTCCACCGGGTGGGATGCCCCATCCAGGTGGGTATTCTTTGTTGAGAAGGGGAGAGAAGAGCGTGGAAGAGGAGCTCTGTCACCGCTTGTGCTGCTCCCCTTTTCCCATTGACCAGATCGTTCCAGAGCTGTCCTTTCCTTCACACGTTCTTCTATGGGAAGAAACACAAAATACTTTACTCTCTTTACTTTAACAACTACCGTCTTGTCTCCATTTATTAAGTTTTTCCAAAGGATTAACTATCCCTGATGGTTTTTGTTACCTTGACTTTTACTTCTGTTGTGTCCTCTGACTTTCATCCCAAAGCTGTGATGTAATTGCCAAGTCTAGGGGGCATTTCTTGTTCTGGTTTGATCTTTGTTCTTACTTAATCAAAACTAGCCATGTCCTTTTTTATTTTTTTAATTCTTACTGAATTCATTGGGATGACATCGGGTCATAAAATTATATAGGTTTCAAGGGTACAGTTCTGTGATACGTCCCATTACCATTTAACCCTCCTTTACCCTCTTCTATTCCTCTTTCCTTCCTCCATTCCCCTTTCCTTCTGATAATCACCATATTGTTGGCTGTGTCTGTGAGTTGGCCACGTCTTTTTGTTTGAAAATCTTATCTCTTGGTTTTTCTGGCACATCCCTTTATCTTTCTGTCGCCTCATTCTCAGCCACCTTAATGGGCTCCTTTTTCTCTGCTTGTGCTTGCATAGTTCCAGTATTTGCATTGTAGTGCCTCTTACATCTGTAGCTCTGATTCATAGTTATTAACATTTTAGACCCTTAATCTTACTGCTGAATGGACAGCTCCACTTTTCTATTCCCCTTCAGCTCTGTTTTTCCTCTAGCATTCTTTGTTTTCAGGCGCTTAATTCGGAAACCTGGGAGCTATGTTTGACTCTTCTGTATCAGCCCGCTCTTGATTCCAAGTCATATTAATATCTTTGGTGTCAGTCCCCTAGTTCAGGTTTTTATGTCTTCATTATTTTACATCTAATTTACGTAGGAACTTCCTGACTCACACTTTGACTCCAGTTTTCTCTTTGATCCACTTTCACAGGGTAATTTTTCTAAAACACAGATGTTTGTACACCTTTGCTCAAAATTCCCTTTGTCTACAGAGTAAATCCCAAACTGGTTACTGTAGCAGCCTAGGCTTTTCATGATCTGGCCCCTGATTACCAAGTTATGGTTTTCCTGGAACATACTGTGCTGCTTGACATACCTATGATTCTAGTCTTTTCTGCCTTTGATGCTTTATTTCCACTCTGTCCACCTGAAAAATTCTTACTCATCCTCTAAAAATAGATCTTTGCTCAGACAGTAACTCTGCTACCTTCCCAAATCCTATCAACAGATTAAGTCACTCCATTAAATACTTCTGTAGCACTATTGCAGTGCCTAAGTCATGGAAGGAGCAGGTGAAGTGAGTGAGGAATTTTTTGGTAGTTGGTTAGTTTATACTGTTAGAATGGGATCAGGAATAAGGGTACTCTTTACCAGACTTATTTCCTCATACCCTTCCTGATGTTACTTCTTTATCTATTTTGTTTCTTTCCCTTTTCCTATGTGTCCATCTGTTCTCACAGGGATGTCTCAGATGCAGCTGGCCCACCATGGCCCTCATGGCTTAGGACACCCTCATGCTGGGCCCCCAGGATCTGGGGGGCAGCCACCACCCCGACCACCACCTGGAATGCCTCATCCCGGACCCCCTCCAATGGGCATGCCGCCCCGAGGGCCTCCGTTCGGATCTCCCATGGGTGAGTAGGCTCAGCCACCTCCCTCGTCCCCCTGTGTTCATGTGGCTTGCTTTGTCATTCCCTCTTCCCCCCACTTTTTTTTTCTCACTGTCTCCCTGTCTGTCCTCTCCCTACAGTCTCTCAACATCAACTATTTCCTATTTCTTGCTTTTACTAACTTCTCTTTCTCTTCCTACAGGTCACCCAGGTCCTATGCCTCCCCATGGTATGCGTGGACCTCCTCCTCTGATGCCCCCTCATGGGTACACTGGCCCTCCACGACCCCCACCCTATGGCTACCAGAGGGGGCCCCTCCCTCCACCCAGACCCACTCCTCGGCCTCCAGTTCCGCCACGTGGTCCACTTCGAGGTCCTCTCCCTCAGTAACTTCTCATTCTCTTTCCTCTTGTTATACCTCTCCAATATCTTTTCAGTTCCTTGGACCAGTCAGAATTGCTGTAGCTTCCTGGGGTTAAGGCCCTGATCCCTTAGGCCTTTTTTTTTTAAGTGTAATTTTCTTTCCACAGGAGGGTTTTTTTTCCCCCTGTGTTCGTCCTAAGTGTTTTGCAAATGCACAGAGAAAATAAAACTAAACTCATTGTTTATTCCTTGTAGTGTTTTTCCTTGGCAAAGTAACTTCTCTTTTTCTGTAAGAAGAAATGTGTGTATATTGGGAGAAGAATGGTATGTAGAAATGAGGGTGTTCTGCATTTTAAAGACTTATTCTGTGACGGGCTGCTGCAGTTGCTGGATCTGTCACAGAGAGTGTTTCCTTATATCAAGCTTACACAGTTAGTCCTAAGATGGAGACTTAGTATCAATGGCATAGGGTTATTGTAAGTATTAGGTGAGAACAGAAGTCAAGTTCCTGGAGATATGCTGGTGAAACTATGAAGTAACATGCACAGAGCTATTCATTGTAGTATCATTTGTAGCAACTAGATTGGAAGCAACTCCTATCCAGCAGTAAGGGACAGGTTGAATACACTGCATAATGGAGTACTGAGCTGCAGTAGAAAGTAATGAGGAAGACACCTCATACTGTTGGGAAGAGATCTGCAGGATAGTTTAAGAAATTAACATGCACAACAATGTATATACATAGTGTGGCACCTTACCTTTCTATGGGGTGGTGCGTAATACATATATTTGTTTAGGAAATGTAAGGCTAAGTCTAAAACTAGAAACTGATACAACTGGTGGGGGGCGGCGGGAGACGTGGAGGAAAGATAGATTTCTCAGCATACTACCTGTGTTGATGTGTTTTTCTGTGGATCCATATACACGTCTTACAAAACTGCAAAACAAGTGGGCATCGGGACTGGAGGAACTCAGGAATCCTCTGCTGTGTTCTGTTCTTTACCACCAGACACCTTGGATAAGGGATTTGTATCTTCCTATTTTTTCTCATTCTTAGTGCTTCAAACCTGATTTACATTATATTTGAATCTGTGCTCAAAGACTTTAGTAAATACATTAAATCCAATGGCCTTTTATTTCTGTTCTTTGTCGTATTTAATCCAGTTACATCACCCACTTCTTGAAGCTTTTTTCTGACTTAGGTAACCATGAACTTTCCTAAACTCTAGGCAAGGAAACGTGAGCCTGGTTCTCTTGTTCTCTTGCATCATCCTCTGCCATGTAACATTGTAACGGCACCTCCAGGGACTGCTGGGGTGGCTGCGGATGCAAAGGTGCGCGAGGCCGTTCTCCCCAGTCATTAACGAGCGTGTAGGCAGACATAATTTTTTATTACGAAACAACGTTTTGAGAGCACAAGGAAGGCTAAGAAAAAACTTCCTGGAAAAAAAAAGTGATTGTTGAACATAAATTAAAGAAAAAGTAGATGTTTCCCAGGCCAAGGTGAAGGGGAAGCTCATTCCAGGCCTCTGGGAGATTTCTGAGCAGGAGAGACTGATAAACAGCACGGTGTGGAACACAGTAAAGCTCTTTGGTGTTGAGGGCAGGAGGACGTCAGAGCCCGTTCGGGAACTCCCACAGATCTGTGCGTCTCGGCCCTTTTTCGCGTCATGGATGGAGCCATTCAAAACAGCATTCTGAGGGCAAGGGAGGTGGCTGCTTCAGGCTGCAGGCAGTTGGCTCCGGGATTCTAGCTGTTTCAGGCTCTGCCTAGTGGCCCAAAGTGCTGAGGGAATGAACATCTGAGCACGTTGCCAAAACACATTGGTCAGGAAGCTGTCATCCGCGGTGGGAAGCCACAGTAGGGATTTAAGCCAGGGAGTGAGCCACTCGTGTTTCAGAGCCCTGGTAGCAGTGCAGAGCAGATTTAGAAGAGGAAGACTGGGTCCCACAGGAGGGTGATAGCAGGAGCTGGGACGAAGATGAAGGAATGCATTGGGGAGTATTTAAAAGGCAAAATAGTAGGACTTGCCGTTAGATTGGATATAGTTAATGAAGGGGAGGGTGGAATCAAGGGTGAGAATAGGCAGGATGTGAGGATAAATTTGGGGGGCAGGATGGAAATGGTGACATTGAGTTTGGGACAGGGTGACTGAGGTGGGTTGTGAGACATGCAGGTGGAGTCATTGAATGTCCAGCCGTGTATGTGTAAAGCTTGGGGCAGATTAGACATGATATTTCATACCATGAGTGGCTAAGGATGCCAGGCTTCTATATTATAATCGGATTAACTGACCTCTTAATTTTAAACGGGGCTCTACTAAAAAGCTGCTTTGATGTGGTCCTGAGCTGAGGTCGCAGGAGCACTTAGAACCTGGCAGAGCCAGCAGCTGGCCCCTGGCCCCAGGCGGTAGAAGGCTTTGTCTCAGCCTATGTCCCTTCTGCCTCCCTGTCTGTCAAATGAATTGACTTACCCTAGATGAGGACTTCAGCTGTTACCTGTATACTGATGATTCTCCAATCTCTAGCTTGTTCTTTCACATAAGCTCCTGGGTGGTATTTTTGGCTGTTGCTGATTTCATGCTGATGAAGTCACAGCATCAGAGTAAGTCAGTACCTACCTCTCTGACCACTGCTATCTCAGGCCGTCATTCTCAGAATCGCTGAGCTTTCACTCATTGAATACTGATTTTTGAGCACCTCATCCAGTCATTAAGTTTGACACCCCCAAACTCTCTATCTCTCCATCCTCTGACTCTTTCGGGCTCTGGTGCTCAGCGATTCTCTGAATAGTTAGTATTGCTTGTCCAGTTAGGTACTTTATTATTCAGGTTTTTGTTCACTAAACCAGGGTTTCTCAACCTTTTTTATTATTGCCCTCCAAGGGGGTATTTTTTCCTAATTGCCCTCCCCCATGTGTACAATTTTAATGTCACAGATATGCTGTATATCAGCTTCTATACTATGGCCCTGTGGAGGGACACAAACCATTATAATGTCTAAAATTCCCACCCCTTCCTGGACGAATGTTTGATTCTTTGGGGAGTGATATCACCCCCATTGAGAATGCATGCTCTAGCTCATGGGTTTTTAATGTTTTGTGGGTCAGAGACAGTCCTTTGAGAATAAGGCAAAAACTATGGCCCCTACCCAAGAAGGATACATATATGCACAAATATCCAATATCCTGAAGCAAAGATTCCAGAAGGCTCATGGATCCCTATCTAAGTATCCCTGCATTAAACCGAATCCCTTAAGGATCCTAAGTGATCTTACTCTATTAATTTGTATCTCGCAAGCATGTTGAAAGGTGCCTGGCATATGCAATAATTTTAAAAATAATAGCGGCTAATACTGAACTGTTACTCTGTGCTGAATGAACCAAGGCTGTTACAGGGCTTAGAACGTTCATTTGGTATGGGTACTGTACAAAGTGCTTTACGTTCATTGTCTCAGTTAATTCTCACAGCAACACCCCAAGGTAGGTTCTGTTATTACCTCCATTTATTTTTATTTTTTAAATCCTCATATGGAGTACATTTATTGATTTTAGAAAGAGGGAGAGGGGGAGAGAGAGAGAGAAAAAAAAAAAAGAAGGGTGAGAGAAAAAAAGGAGTTGCCTCCTGTACACGCCCCAACTGGGAATTGAACCCACAGCCTCGGTTTGCGTCCTGACCTGGGATGGAACCTGCAACCACCAACCAAATGAACCACTGGGCCAGGGCCTGTTATTACTGCCATTTTAATATCAAGAAACTGGTATCAAGTTACTTGACCAAGGTTGCATGCCAAGATGTGGTGGATTCAATAATTGAGCCAACAGCTGTCTGGATTCCAGAGCCAATTGCTTAATCACATTATACTGTGTTATATTTACTGAATAAATACTTGTTGGAAGAATGGATGTTTCGCTTTTGCTGTTGGCTTTCTGTATGGGGTATCCCCTCTCTAACTGGATGAGAAACTCCTAGAGTGTGGAATTTTGGTGTTGCACTTGTTAGCATCTCTCCTTGGAACTTTATGGTATCTTAGAGGTGCTCTCATTGACCTTCTTTTCTCTTTCTTTACCTTTGCATCCTGACAATCTCATGTGCGTGGAGCCGGGTGGGTAGAAGCAGTGATAGAATGCAGACGGGTGGCTGGTGTGGAAGAGTTGCCAGTTTGATGGGTAAGCGGGGAAAGAAGCTGCCCCAGGAAGCAGTGTAAGGACGTGGTTAAAAAACCTGGAAAAGCAAGGAGAAGCCAGAGAGACTCACTTACTGTTTGAATCTACTGATGTGAAACTAGAAAAAGACTAAGCAACGGTGACAGGGAGGAGATCAGTGGCTGCCAAAGATGGGAGACTGATTTCCAGAGGGGCATGAGGGGACATTTGGGGACAAAAGAAATGTTCTTTCTCTTAATGAAGGGGGTGCTTACATGGCATACTCACTCGTTAAAACTCAGAGCTATACACTTAAAATGGATGAATTGAAAAAGAATAAGAGCTCTGGATCTATATCGCCCAAATCCTTCGGCCATCTCTGAGTTGTGTGATTATATCAAGCTACTTAACCAATCAGTGTGTCAATCTCCTCATCTGTAAACGCTGATCATCTCATAGAATTAATGGGGCGGTGGGACGAGTTAATATAAAGTGGTCAGAAAAGCATCCAAGTCAGGTAAATGCTCTAACGATGTTAATCATCATTACTTATATACCTACTTATTACCTCCTGGGCCAAGTCCCAATAGGCAATAATTAATTTTTATTCTTTCAAACAGAATTTCTTTACCTAGTAGTTCAACACTGATAGTGGGAGTAAGAAGAGATTTATTTAATGCACTGAAGTTAATATTTAACTTACTTGGAATAATGCTTCATTAAGTGTTTACATAATGGATACTGGGTATATAGCCGTGAATACACCAGTTAAGGTCCTTGGTCCCTTAGAACTGACAATCTAAGTAGGAGAAGACAAAAAATAAAAACATAAAAATGATTTTAGATAGGGATATATTATAAGAAAAAAAATAAGGCACAGTGATAGGCTAGTGACTGGGAAGTGGGGAGGGATGTAGTAAGTTCTTTCAGATAGGTTGGTCAGAGGGGGTGACTTTTGATAGAGAGCTGAATGACAAGGCAAAGACCTGGGAGAAGGCAGCTCCAGACAGCAGGTCCCCCAGCACCAACCTCCGCTCATGGGTATGTGCCGGGCATGTTTGAGGCACAGC